AACGAAAATAACATTTTCACTGTCGCCTTTGAAAGTTATTTAACCTAGAAATAAAATTTCAAAAGATGACAGATATAAATGGAGAAGTTACAAAACGTTTAATAAAAATTAAAACACTGAGTCATATTTCTTGCCTACCAGTGCAAAAACCTACTAGGCAAATTTTTAATTCTTTAATTTAATTTTAAATAAACTTTCATTTTAAAAATGTTCAACAGTCACATGACAATACATTCAGTGCATTTTAAATTATTATATTTGTGAACTAAGTGTGTGATTTCAAGGTAAATAATCCACCGCTGAAGATGGCGAGATGCTAAAATCATCTGACAGACCAAACAAGCGAGGATAGGCGGATCAGGACGACCAGAAAGTACCGGATCACAGGTTCATTACCCCGCAGACGTCACGAAATCTCACAAATTAACCGTTAAATAAATAATCTTACTGTTTATTAGATCACTAACCTACCTCTGAAGAAGGCGAGATGATAAAGGAATATGATGACCAAACAAGCGACGATGTGCGGACCAGGACAACCGGAAAGTACCGTAAAGTGGGTGACTGCAGTGGGTACATGGTCGAATTTTAAATTCGAACGGCCCCTTAAAAACCTTAAAAATTGCGGGAACAGTGTTTTTCTTTGTCTCATATAAGCGGCGTTCGCTCCCGCCTAACGAAGCCTCCACTACCACGTGTTACCCTTCCATTCTTGATAAGTCCACCAAATAAGTGAACAAGCTTCCAAACAATTGAGCTAATGTACCAAAGTCACCCCACATATGGGGTGAAATTGGTACAGAAAAACTACCGATTTCTCGTGAACTATTAGGGATATTAAAGATATTTAATTATGGCAATCAAGTTAGATATTGCTTTAATGGAAAACTTAAATGATAGCAATATTTGTTACCAGTAATGTGGGAGAATGAAAATAACCCAAAAATTGTCCTAAGTCACCCCATTTTACGGTACGAAATCAGGTTCATCCCCCTCAGTCATCACGAAATCTCACAAATTAACCCTTAAATAAATAATCGTTACTGTTCATTAGATCACTAGCCCACCCCTGAAGAAAGCAGATAATAAAGACATCTGATGATCAAACATGCGAGGATATGCGAACCAGGACGACCGGAAAGCACCGAATCACAGGTTCATCCCCCTCAGACATCACGAAATCTCACAAATTAACCCTTAAATAAATAATCGTTACTGTTCATTAGATCACTAGCCGACCATTGAAGTTGGCGAGATGCTAAAGGCATCTGGCAGCCCGAACAAGGGAAGATAGGTAGACCAGGACTACCCGGAAGTAGAAAATCGCAGATTCATCACCCCGCAGATATGAAATCTGGCAAAGTAGCTTATTTACCAGCTAGTTGATTGATTAAGTAAACAAGTTGTAAGTCTGCCCCATCGCAAGAACAACACTTACGCAACTCTCACAAGTCTTGCGGGTTTAGTATGCGCGGTGTCCCAGTAAAGACTTTCTAATGGCAAATATCTCTTCACAGGGACAAAATACAAAAAAAGTTCCTAAAAAAAGATTTTTCCCTACTTCTTGTTTATTAATAAATCAATTGTTCGACATGAAAATGATAAAATAATACTTCTGATCAGTGAGAATCATTTAAATCAAATTTTGTTTTGTTCAGAAACGTTTTGTTCTCAGATAAACCTAATATTTTTTAATTATTACATTATCAACAATTATCTAAAATTTCCGAAATGATTGAAAACCTGGGTAAATACTGCATAAATAGTAGGCAAGAGTTTCGTCCGGTCGAGACAACCATCATTTACGCAGGATGATTTTCCTCAGGCTAATGGAAAAATTCTCCTTGGAAAAGATGCCGGCACAGTAAACCAGATTGTCGTGGAAGCGTCCGTAAAATATAACAAAAACTGAACGGAGGTTAGCGCTGGTATAATTGGATTTAGAGACAATAAAATTAGAGAGAGAGCAGTTGCCAAAAGTGAGCCTGCCAACTCCTCATTCCCTCTTCGTTCCCATTCACCCAAGCTATGATAATCGAAGACTCAATCTTAGAAACGTTTCGTACAATTTTTTGATGAATGGAAACATGTTAAGGAACCTACATTTCAATGTCACCATGAACCGGTCAAAGATTACAAGTTCTAGTGTTAAATGAAAAATAAACTTTATGGGGATTTAAAGTTTCCTTGGCGAATTAATTATGAATAGACAAGGCCTGATGGAACTCAGTAGATGTCCATAGGTTGGAGGCACGGATGAGGAAGGAACAACTAAAGACACTAGGTCAGAAGGGCGGGAACGAGTTTGAAAGGCATATTACAGGGGATCAGAATCATCACCTTCAGATGTATGGCTTCAGTGTAAAGATGTTATAAGGGACCTCCTTGGGAAGCCAAAGACAAAAAAAATAGAGGAGAATAAAGTAAGAAACTTTATTCCTTAAAAGGGAGAAGGTGGCTGTTAAAACAGAAGAAATTTGAGATATGAGTTTTCCAGGACGAAGTCTGATCAAGGACACTCGCAAGGTTCTTGACATTTGGACAGAAGGAAGGTAATAGATCGGAAGTAAGGAATGGAGGAAGGAACTGGGAATAACCTGAGAACTTTTCAAGTTAAGCCCAACCTAGGAGGTAATTAAGTTTAAATCTTGAATTCTTGTAATTGTAACTTTTAAGTCAGCACTTGAGAAGGAAAGGTAAATTTGGGAGTCATCCACATAAAGGATCTTCCAGGACAAGGTAAGATCAAGGACAATCCCAAGGTTCTCGACAGTGGGGCAGAAGAAATAGTGTGGTGATTAAACTGTAAACGAATGGGTAGGATGTAAGAAATGGAGGAAAGAACTGGGTCTGACACAACAACCTGAGACTTTTCTCCAATTTAAGCCCTTCCAGCAGCCCAGGAATTGAGTTTAAATTCTAAATTCTTACAAGTGTAACTTGTAAGTCAGCAGGTGGGAAAGAAAGGTAAATTTGGGAGTCAACCGCATAAATATTTTATGGATTTAGGGTCATTAATGTAATAGCAAAAAAGTAAATGTTGGTTGAGCCTTGCAATACTCCAGAAGTGATGAGTTACTGAGAGGGCTGGAGCTTTGGGACAAAGACTACTTGGGGAGGTTCCGAAAGGTAAAAACTTATCAGGTTGTGCTTGGCAAAAAAAAAGCTGCAAAGGTAAAAAATAATTCAAATGTTTTCCCCGAAGACTACAAACTTATTAAAAGACAATCAGCAGTGTGGATAAGCAGACTAAGATCGGAAACGAACAAGTCACAGATTCATCACCTGTATTATGCAGTGGTGGGTTTGTTGTCTTCCCTCGCCCAGCTTATAACCCTGACTAACCACTGAAGCTGGTGAAATGGAGGCAACTGACTGACCAATCCAACGAGAATAGGTAGACTAAAATGATCGATAATGTCCGAATTACAGGAACAAATAATTTAATCAACAAATAAAATGCTCATTAACTAATCTCACTGCTAACACAATGACATTCCGAAAATGTCTTTTAAATTGGTTTTGCATTTTAAGTGTTTTGAGAATGTCACCAATGCAACACAATGCCCTCTGACCAAAATACTTGCTGTCCCATTCCATGAAGCCATTCTTTCTTCAAACCCAGTCGAAATTGGATGCTATATCAGGTTTTTAACTAACGAATAGGCACCAAAAGGAATCGCAAGCTGACAGTAACACAACGTGAAGCACCTGCAAGGGTTGTGGAGTGTTGAGTACAAAAGCCAGTGATCTAGGAGAACATTGAGGGAGTTTAGTGGGGGATCAATCATTTCAGAAGGATCTTCTCAAATATTTTTTGAGAAGAGAGGAAGTAGTCTCATTGGACGGAGAAAGAAGCTTTATTGATGGATTTGCTGGGTTTTGGGAAAAGGATGGTATTTGAGTATTTCAAGAGTAAAGGGAAGTGAGTGGTGCGGAATATACTATTGTAGAGTGCCTTGTGATTCGGCATCCGATTTACGATAAAATTCACCTCTGAAGGAGTAATTTCAAGTGAAGTGACATCGGTAAGGGGGATGTAAGGTAGTTGTGTATTTCATTTTTTTATACGTATTTTGAGGTTCGGATTGGAGGTGTGTGTGATGGAAGAATTGGGCAAAAGAGTTGGTTTTGTCAAGTTCAGTCATGGCCCTTCAAAATTTTAAAGCTATTTTTACAGTCATCTTACTCAATTAAGACTAGGCTTCTAAATAAATAAATTCATATACTAAGCTTTTTGTACATAAGTTTTGACAATTGCTTTCCCGATCCCTGTGTGAATTAAATAAAAAATAATTTACACTGATGCCTGAAGAAGAAGTGTAGGAATATTTATGATTATTATATTATTTTTTGTATATTTTGTTTTATTGAATGGCTACCTTTTCTTAATTCTTAAAAAAAATTAATTTTGTTCTAATTTTTCTTATTTAAAATCGATTTTAATTTGTTTTAAAACGTTTTTTAGTGGGAAGTAAAGTAAAAAATTGGGGATCACCAATGACCTGCTTTGCCAGCATAGGTACATTTTAGACGCTTGTCTTTGTGGGGTTAAAAAATGCTTACATTGGTTTTCTTTACGATCAAATATAGGCTGTTAAAAAAAAGGGGAAAATTTTGAAAATCAAGATTCTAGGAAATAGGATTATTGAAGGGGGAGGGGACATTTAATAAAATATTGAGATTTAAAATGTATTTTAGAATAATTTTATTACTATTAAAAAATTAAAAAATCACAATAAAGCTATAAACGATTTTGCAACTTCAACATACAGCATATTTTTTTGGATCGGGTTGTGGAATTTTAGTTAAATAATCGCCTAGAAATAACGGTTTGACAACTAGAATTTTTTTAGAAGTAATCTTAGCCTTGGGTGCTGGCAATTCTGTATGCTCATCCCAAAACACATGTGTGGCTTTAAATATATCTCTACAATATTAAAAGTTTAAAAGTTAAAGTTGTACATAATTTTCTACAAGAAATAAATAAAAAAACTTACTCTTTTTTCAACACAGTAGCACCGCCAGCTTCCAAAAGGCGTTTATATTGAGCGTATTTGTTTTGTGATGTACAAATAACAGCCACGATGTTTCTAAACGCACATGGCTTGGACATATGAGATCTCTGAACCCGCCATATGTGTGCAGCCATTGCCAGGTCATACTCAGTCGTTCCTGGCTCCAAATGTGGGAGACGATCCTTCGATCTTTCATTTCCCCATTCAAAATCTTCCTCCTTTATGCACAAATATGTGGCTTAAAACATTTATCCAATTTTTTTTATCTTTTGTAAATAAAATAAAATACATACTGGCAAAAACGTTCTTGATTGGTAGCATTGTGACAAATAGGATAAATGCAAAACCCATTTACCACTGGCAATAGAGCACAACAACTTTTCACTTCTAACCGGTTTGTCAATGATGAGATGTGTCGAGTCACTATCGTAGCATTGCAATCCACTGACTTCACCTCCAAGGCTTTTTATAATTCCTTCAAATTTTTCTCTTGTCGAAGACTATAAAATAGATATACAAAAAAAATGTTTTAATTAACCAAACAAAAAAAATTAAAATCAGTAGTTGCTGCTTAATCCACCACTGGCTAGTCCTTAGAGAATTTTCATGATGGAACCAACTTTCCTGTGTTCTTTGCTGACTTCCTAAGTGAAATAGTCATTTCGCCAGCATAACTGAACCTTCAAACTAGTTGAACTGGTGCTAGGTCACTTTCTGCGTCCATCTAAACATGTTGCCTATCCCTGTGTTGGTTTGTCAGGCACATTTCGCCGTCATGCCATCTTCAGTGGTTGGTTAGAGACATAAGCAGGAAAGAACAATCCCACCACTGTATATTTATAGGATGTGCCAAAATATATCTGACATACTGACAAATTTTCTCTTCTCGCTTGGTTGGTCTGTCAGACCAATTTCAGCATTTCCCCACTTTCAGTGGTTGGTCAGGGTTATAAGCAGGGTGAGGAAAGGCAATAAACTGTGGTCATTACCGATCATTTCAGTCTATCTATCCTTGCAGAGTTCGTCTGTAAGACGTGTTTCTGCCATCTTCAGTGAGGAACTGCATCAGTCAGGGGTTAGGCCTTTTTATATACAGGGTGAATTGCTACTCGTGCTACAAACTTCACCAGTAGATTCTTGACCCTAAAATGAACAAAAAAGTTCATATTGACCATGGTCCGATTCTCAACCATTTCAGAGTAATTTCGCTTTTTATCGATTTTGAAAGATATCACGTCCTGGCGTCGGAAAATCGTGATATCTTTTAATCTAAACATTTCTCTTAAAATCTATAAGCACCGTTGAAATCCCCGTTAATTTTTCAATAAGAAGATGAAGGTGGCAAAACGTTTGGGTCTTTCTTCCTTGACCTTCTAGCTGTTTGTAAACTTCTTAAGCATTACATACTAAATGGGCATTAAATTAAATTAAAAAATTTCAATGGAATTATGATTTTGATTCTCTCTAAAAATTAACGGGGATTTCAACGGTGCTTATAGATTTTAAGAGAAATGTTTAGATTAAAAGATATCACGATTTTCCGACGCCAGGACGTGATATCTTTCAAAATCGATAAAAAGCGAAATTACTCTGAAATGGTTGAGAATCGGACCATGGACAATATGAACTTTTTTGTTCATTTTAGGGTGAAGAATCTACTGGAGAAGTTTGTAGCACGAGTAGCAATTCACCCTGTATATTTTAAGTAACCGTTAACTGGCTGTTTAAAGTTGATGGTGAGTGCTGGTCTATGTGAACACATGTAGAACCAGTCCAGGGTCAATCTAACTTCTCACTGAATATGACCAATGCAGCAATAATAAATAGGCACACCAAAAAATTAAAATTAAACCTTTTTAACTTTAAATTAATTTTTTTAATTTTTAATTAAACATTTTGAATTTCAAAACCCTTTTTAAATTCAAATTGATCTTTTTTACATCAAATTAACCCCTTTCTTTAAAGCATATTTAATTTTATTTTTAATTTGAATTGTAATTATCATAGAGATCCCTAAAAATTCAAATATACAGGAATTTTACTTTACATGAAATATATACATATTGGGGACCGCGGTAGCCGAGTGGTTAGCATGAGAGACTCTCACATCGCGGTCGTAACTCATAAGTTTTTAATGCTTTAAATTAAGTTAATTAGAAATTAATAAGGGTTAATTTGAAGTTAAAAATGGTTAATTTGAAATTTAAAAAGATTAATTTTAAGTTAAAAATGGTTAATTAGAAATTAAAAATGGTTAATTTGAAATTTAAAAAAGTCAATTTGAAGGAAAAACTACAATAAGATTACTTCCTAATTCCAAGAACAAAAACACATCATAGATTTTGTTCAATTAATAAGTTTTTGACACAACTTAATCCCTTTGATGAAATGACATATACTCTGAAATGGTTGAGAATCGGACCATGGACAATATGAACTTTTTTGTTCATTTTAGGGTGAAGAATCTACTGGAGAAGTTTGTAGCACGAGTAGCAATTCACCCTGTATATTTTAAGTAACCGTTAACTGGCTGTTTAAAGTTGATGGTGAGTGCTGGTCTATGTGAACACATGTAGAACCAGTCCAGGGTCAATCTAACTTCTCACTGAATATGACCAATGCAGCAATAATAAATAGGCACACCAAAAAATTAAAATTAAACCTTTTTAACTTTAAATTAATTTTTTTAATTTTTAATTAAACATTTTGAATTTCAAAACCCTTTTTAAATTCAAATTGATCTTTTTTACATCAAATTAACCCCTTTCTTTAAAGCATATTTAATTTTATTTTTAATTTGAATTGTAATTATCATAGAGATCCCTAAAAATTCAAATATACAGGAATTTTACTTTACATGAAATATATACATATTGGGGACCGCGGTAGCCGAGTGGTTAGCATGAGAGACTCTCACATCGCGGTCGTAACTCATAAGTTTTTAATGCTTTAAATTAAGTTAATTAGAAATTAATAAGGGTTAATTTGAAGTTAAAAATGGTTAATTTGAAATTTAAAAAGATTAATTTTAAGTTAAAAATGGTTAATTAGAAATTAAAAATGGTTAATTTGAAATTTAAAAAAGTCAATTTGAAGGAAAAACTACAATAAGATTACTTCCTAATTCCAAGAACAAAAACACATCATAGATTTTGTTCAATTAATAAGTTTTTGACACAACTTAATCCCTTTGATGAAATGACATATACTAAAAAAAACGTTAAAAAATTCCCCCTCGATTTCTCAGGTTTATTTATTAATTTTTGTATTTTAACCTGGCACAATCATGAAGGATTAAGCAGCAACAACTATATAAATAAAAAACCACTTACTGGGATATTTGATAACACAAATATTCTTCTCGTTTTGGGCACCTCTGTCTCTTCGGTGAGTTCTTCTGTCTCAGGGATTACCATGTCTTCGTTTTTTTCGCAATCTGTATCCACGCTAATTTTCTGCTTTTTTAACTCCGGTTCAGAATTATCCGTCAAGAACTAATCCAAATAAATCATCGGAATTATATAATTACTGTATTTATTATTTGTTGAAGTCGTGAGGAGTGGTCAATATATTATAATAATCCATGCATGTTTAGTGGTCATAATTCACCATATTCATTATTTCAATTTATTATTCTTTTTATCAAAGATCTTGGTGAGGATGAAAACCCTTAGATAAAAATAATAATTAATTGGAATTATTACAACTGTTCAAAAGCTACAAGTTTACTTCCAAACGATGCCAACAAGGATGTTATTGCGAGAAAAATAAGGATTCAATCAACAAAAGCTCTTTCTGCAAACATTTTCATTTATTTTTCCAGTTCTGTATTTATAGAGGCCAGTTTTGTGCCGATACTTATAGTTTATAAGGTTATAAATCGCTCCCAAGTTACTCATGGGTTGGTGATGTCATTTCAAAGTTATCACCATTTTTATGAATTTAATTTTTCTTTTTATCTAAAGTCTTGGTCGAGATGAAAAAGTTAGTGCCATGAGCAGGATTCAAATCCACAACTTGCGACTCAATATACCGCTGCTCTAACCACTTGAGGTTCACGATAGCTCAAGTGGTTAGAGCATCAGCGTAATGAACCGAAGGTCGTGGGTTCGAATCCTGCTTGTGATACTAACTTTTTCATCTCAACTAAGACCTTAGATAAAAAGAATACTTGATTGAAGTAATATAATAAATAATATTTCAATATATATATTATTGGGAAAATGGCCCATTAAAACAGCTACGCCTTTTCTGAATTGCAATCTTTCTAAATTACAATGCTCCAATGTATAAGTGATNTATTTCAATATATATAATATTTATTATTTATAACTATAAATATCATGATATTTTTTTGCATTGTATACATGCATGCGACAGGAAATATATTTACAAAATACAGAAAGGGAAACAATTCTATTCAACATTTTCAAATACGTATAAAAACTTACAGAAAGTGTATTTGGTTTTCCAAAATCCCAAGCAGGCATTTCATCCATTTCACATCTTGTCTTAGTCCTTTTAGAACTCCCCCAGCCTAAAACAACACTAATTATTATCTGATTTCATTAAATAAAAAACATACATAGGTAATATATTAAATCCATATGCGTTAAGCGGTCATAATTGACCTATTTAATTATTTCAATTAATTATACTATTTATCTAAAGCCTCAGTTGCAATGAAAAAGTTAGTATCATGAGCTCAATTGGTCAGAGCAGCAGTGTATTGAGCCGAAGGTCATGGGTTCAACACACTAACATTTTCATCTCAACCAAGACTTTAGTTAAAAAATATAATTAATTGAAATAATTAAACAGGTCTATTATGACTGCTAAACATATATAGATTAAAATAATAATTAAAGAAGTAATCTCTTCACTAACATCTCCCTGTGGCCACTTCATAAGTCGCTGACAATAGAATCCTGATTACACGACATTTTCAAAATTCTAAAGATTGTTGGTTGAGGATAAGATTGAGATAAGTAGTTACTGTCCGAGTGGATCGAAGTCACGATAGCTGCTCAAGTGGAACAGCGGCGTATTGAGCAGAAGGGTGTGGGTTCGAATCCCACTTGTGACACTAACTTTTTCCTCTCAACCAAGACTTTATTTAAAAAGTAAAATTAATTGGAATATATTAAATGTAACATTCAAGAGATTTATATAACATACTCGTTGATGGTTGGCATTTGGATTCTTCTTTTGTTTTTGATCCATTGTTCAAATCAGAGCTTACTGATTTCTGGTCATGAGATTCCCTAAGAACCGTTTTAGTCGACTGTGCACTAGTTGTATGTAGCCCCTCGGTACATCTTTAACAAAAAAAAATACTGAAAAAAAAACATCAAAAAATATAAATTTGCACTTACATTTTTTTTATTTCTTCCACTGTTTCCTTATTACTAAGATTGTTATTTGGCTTTTTACCTTGATCTTTACTCAACCAACCACCACTACTATTATTTTTATTATTTTCTTTGAACTCCTACAAATAATAGCACGACATTAATATTTCTAATTAATAGAAATCTACTTCGGGAAAATACGTACTTGGGTATTGTCAGGTGTAACTTTTATAGTCTCATTTTCATGTGCCCATTCTCTGTATGGTCCCTGAAAAATATGAAAAATACCTGGTAAAACTCGAGTCAGCAGTGTAAATAAATATCTATTAACTAAATCCACTATTAATTATCCTGTAGTATAAAATTTAGAATACAACAATGCTCAATCATTAGTTAAGGATAAGAGTGGAAAGATGAACAACATGTACTGGGATTTCGGTTTTTTTTTTTTTTTTTTTTTTTTTTAGACAAAAAATAATGTTATGCATACTCATTTTGGGGGGATGGGTATCGTGAAAAAAAGGCCAGAGGCAACGGCGAGAATTGAACCCACAACCACGGGGTCTACAAGCCGAGAGTCTGTCACACTAACCACTCGGCTACCACGGCGGTTATAACAGTTCATAAACAATTCAGAGGTCTGAGTGACCAGTGTGGTTCCTAATGAAGAAAACAGCATTGTTGATTGTGGAGGACTTTTTCACTGGAGGTACTGGATCCTAAGATTTTATTGTTTTATCCCATACAGTTCCAGTCCGAAACTCCATTAAAGGAGCTAAAAGAACTAAAATTTATTCCATTTAAGGAGGTTCTAAGGTAACGAGGTGGTCTTGGAGGGTTCGAAATGTTAGAATGAGATTGAAGTTTCAACAATTGATCCTGGTGCCAGACATAATCTAGAAAGACTCTAGGGCATAACTGCTCACTGATGTTGAAATGGCGAATACAGCATGATGATGATATTGGTCGAATGTGGAGTGTTAATTGTGTTGGTAATTAGGTAAAATGTTGGTTGTGGATTTCTTGCAGGAGGTATATGTAGGATTATTTGGTATTGTCAAGTTAAGGGAGACTGTGCTAACAGCAAAGTTTGAGTATACGGTAAAAAGTAACTGGCCTAAGATATTCCCTGTCAGAACACCACAGAAGATGCAATGGATCAGAGAGGTTGATGTTCAGTAGGTAACACGATATGATTTTCATATGAGATAGTTTATAATAGAAAGAAAGGATTTGAGTTTCAGCACTGTCTACTCCAGGGAAGAACTGATTACAATTACGTCTATATTTCTTTCTTTAAGAAATTTATCACAAAAGCAATAACCAATTTAACTATTTCTATTATTCAGTTATATTACATCAGGTAGGAGGTCGCCTGTTTCTTGATCGATTCCTTCTATTTGTGCATCACCAAATTTCACCCAAAGTTGCTTCATTATTACACTAAGCGGCTGAAAAATAATTCTAATTACAGAATCGTTCTTGTTATTATTTTATAGTCTAAGTTGTACGCACAGTGCTCGGACGTCTTTTACGAAATGTCTGAATCTGGGGTGACTTTTGATAAAGTTCTGGTAGGTTATCGATCCACTTTTTCCAGCTCTTCTTCGCAGTAGGGCTCAGTACATCTCCATCATTCAAGAACACCCGACCATATGGGGTGTCCGGAGTATCCATGTGAAAGGGAGATTTTCCGGATGAAGTGAATGAAAACTGGAAAAAATAAAATGTTCCTTTTGATGTTTTTAAAGATTGCAGTCAATAAAAATTTTATTACAAGCAAACAAAACAATATAAAAGATTTTTTTTATTAACAAAACTGTAAGTAAATTTTTTTAAAGAATTACTTGTTTATTTGCATCCGGTGTACAGAAATTTTCATCTATAGATTTCAGGGAGATGTTCATCTTTGCACTGGCATCTTTTAGAGATTCCTTGTTTTGCTCTAACGATTCTGCCGATATGGTTTTTTTAGGTTTCTCAGGACAAGCAAACACATCACAAACTCGTTTCGAAGTGGATGGTGTTGCTTTAATTTCAGAAGGAGTTGATTCGATCACTCTCCTCATGGCCGGATTTACAGGCGTTGAGATTATTTCCCTTTCATTATTGACAGAAGGCGTGTCGAGGTCGGCCGTTGCTCCGTCTTCAAGCAATGACAATAACCACTCTTTTTTGACAGTCGGGATGCCCCATCTAATAGCGGCTTCGTATTTACTTCCAGATGTTGTCTGACACACTAGATGAGTCGCACGTTCAATACCTTTATCAGGGTGATTTTTACGGGAAAACGAATCTTGAACCCTTAAAATAAAAAATGTATATATATAAAATTATATAAGACTTGTAAATTAAGAAAATTACTTTGCACCCAGCGCAGTTGCTAAATGGGCTATGAAATTTCTTTCTTTCCCCATGATACCTGATATACAAATTACACTCCCTGATAAAGGTTTTTGACCCAATGTGACAATGACAGGTTTATGGAAGTAATCGACATCAAGGATGGCTTCCTGTTCATAACAGTCCTCCTGAAGAGTTAGGAAAAAATAAAACACTAATTGATAAATGAAATGACTATTGGTTTAGTCAAATCAACCAAAATGACGATAAATTTTTTAATACTAACCACCCAAAGGCTCGTGACTATGTGTTTTGCATTAACTTTAATTGCACTGATGAGTGGAACAACAGCATAATCAACTTTTCCTTTGAATTTGTTTGAATATATTTTACCATGTAGATTTCTTATCAACTCCTCTATCGTATTTGCATCATCAAAACCAATAACAACGAATGAAAATCCTAAAATATAAATTTATATAGCATGAATCACAATAGGAAAATATTCTATTTCAATTTACCTTCGAATATCGGGCCAACTACTACGGATGAATCATTCTTTGTTGAGTTGGCATCATTTTGAGCAGGTTCATTTATGCCATTATCATTTGGTTCATTAGTTTCTTCTTTCTGTGTTTCGTTCTGTTTTCTTAAATTGTCCATTTCTTCCTGTGCTCTCAGCTTCAATATTCCATCCTGGACTGGTGGTTCATTTGCTAAGAGGTATATACAAATTTTAAAATTGTTTGAATTGTTTCTTTTATAGGTGAATTACTCACATATCGAAACCTGATCTTTTGTGAATAGTTTTCTCGATACGGTTTGGTTTGGCTCATTAATGTCGGATTTTAGAAGTTCCACTCCCTTGACAAAAGTACAATTCAAACTGTTTTATATAAACAAATCCTCTAATTATAATGTTATTTGTAAATAAAAAGGGGCTACACACTGATTTCAAAGAAACTTTTTTTGAGTGATACTAGCTTGAAAAATATTGGACACATGTCCCAGTGTCCTTGAGCTCTAGGAACCCAGAAAAGAAAATACTATTCAGGATCATTTAAATGAGATTAGATACATAAACAGTTCCAATAATCAAAATGCGTCTTAACACATTCAATGTGGGTGACTGTAATATGGGTGAACACAGAGTGGAATCAAGCCCCTCTCTTCAATTCAACTTTTTTTCCCCATTTTAGTAAGAACAGTGGTATAATGCCCCCATAGTTCAAAAGTTCAGAAAAGCCTATCTTAGACTAAAAATCATTCCTAGGTCTCTATAACCTTAAACCGCTAGATAGCATCTTTATCGTGCCAATGTTTCGATCTTTATTGAGATCATACAATTTAAACAATATTCTTAAAACTCAGGCCCTGAAGATGATCTCAATAAAGATTGAAACGTTGGCACGATAAAGAAAATGTTTTTCTAAACCTACATCACACCAGACCTCATGATTTCTAAATAATCATTACATAACCGTCTCTAAATATTATACATCTTTATGCTTTAGTAACTAGAAAAAAAAATCACTGAATGATTTCTCTTCTACATGAAAGATTTTATTTTTAACTTACCTACTTTGTGTCCAGTTTTGTTGGAAACCAATTTTGACAAAGTATGTAATTATAGAACCAGTACATCTATGTAACTAATTAAATTTCACCACCGTTTTCATGTAATGAAAGGAAGCCAGGATGACCTAGGTAAATATCGTTTTACAAAATTCATCAACTGCCTCTCAGCTTTTTGATATTATAATTTATATTTTTATTTCCCTACCATGTGCAGTAATTATAATCCACAGCCGGGGCCATCCGAACCTAAACATTTACTGCATGCGGTGCAACAACATACAATATAACATATTTTTTTGAATTTCACAAAAACAAATAATTTAAATAATTCAGGTAATGAAAAAATGTTAATATTTTCCATTTGTAAATAATTTCTTTGCTTTTTTTGTTTTATTTTATTATTTTATAATTTTATTTTGTATTCTTTTTTAATTTATTTAGAAATCGATTAACGGTCACTAATCACCACACATTCTTTTTTAACTTTTTTTAAAATTTTAAACAATTCAAGTGAATGAAAATATTGTAAATATATATTATTGTTGTAAATACACTGTTTTTTAAATGTATTTTTAGTCTCTTTTTTAAATTAATTTTGTAATTTTTTTTTAACGAGGGTTGGCAACAGCAGACGTCATATAAACCCTCAAGGTGCCGGTGTTTTAAAAAAAAAAAAAACCATTTGTAAATGATTTGAACCCGGGACCTTTACTTTACAGTGATGAGCGCCGTGTCAAAGACTAAACCTTGCGGCCACCGTCGCCCCTTTTGTAAAAATTAAAAAAACGGATAATAAGAACTGTAAATATTAGAGAAAAAATTAATTGTTCTTATTTAAAGTTGTTTTTTCTTGTTCGTTCAGCATGGACATGTTTTTCCTCATTCACACATAAGTGAAGAAAAAGTCATCAAAGTACGGTTTTGAAATGGTTTAGAATACAAAAGTTCTAAGTAATTTGTGACTCAACAGCCGAATCATGTCATGGAGAGGGTTAAATAAAGTAGGCCAAAAAAAATTGTTTTGAGAACACAATAAGGATTTGTTTAAGCACTCATTAAAGCCCTTAAATAAAATTCTCATACCAAACAACAATACGACATTTTTGGACTGAATTCTCTGGGGTCAATTTTTTTCTCATCGCTTAAAAATTCATAAATACTCTGGAATTCATCCAAATTCATCATTATTACAACTTAATCCACATTTGCTTAGTGGTTATAATTTTTAGTAAGAAATAATGTTGATATTCATTTTCTACACCAAAAGCCCCACATACAAGTTTTTGAGAAAATCCACCCCCCTCCTAAAATGCTTCCTTTTTTAAAAAAAATCAATATGCATATTTAAGAGCCTTAAAGGTTGATTAAAACTAATCCGATTTTTTTAAATTATTTTTTTATTATATCTTTTTACATATCTGATCTCATTTAGTCCAATATTACCCTTTTCTTATCCCGAACATATAAAAAATAGGCATATACATAATATCCTTGAAATAAATAAACAAAGGCAGGAAAACATATTTTTAAATTAGCTAAATTACTTAAAATATTTTATCTCTCAGCTCTTAGTGCCAACCCATTGGCAATACTCAAACACGTATCTAATATTTTTCAACTTCGTATCATGGAAAAAAGTTTCATTTTAATCAGCGATATTATGTCCTTCCACTAGTGAGGTGAAGCAAATTATTAAACCAAAATTTCACATGAAGAAAAGAAAAAGAGTAAGTTTAACTGATCTACAAATTGAAGACACTGCTATACAGAAAGTAACTAAAGTACTTAACTTATAAACAAGACAATTTTAATATAAAATGGTTTGCACTGAAGGAAGAGGATTAAACTTTTCTTGTAGCAAGACAAAAAAAATCGTAGCTCACTTATAATTAAAAACAAAATCCTTGATATAAAATCAACAGTGACAAAATTATATAAATTAATCTGATTTACCTTATGGCTCAGAGGAGATGAAAGAGGAGGAGCAGTAGATCCGTGCAAGCAAAGGTACGGTTCAATAGAGGCAGCACTTTTTTGTCTTATTGAAGCTAAAAGCCATTCTAGCTTTACTGTATGCGGTTTCGATTTAAGTTCAACAAGCAACTTCGCATCTTGAATGTCAAATGCTCCAACGATAATATGACTTAAGCGATCGGTTATTTTTGTATAGATTGTCGCTCCGCCTCTGTTAATAACTTTTTTCAATTTTTCCGTTTCCTGTGGTGTAAAACCGCTCAAGTAAATCTGCAATTTTCACAGTCGTGTTAACTTTTGTTTGCTAAATAGTTGTAGAGTTAATATCAGAATGATCACAGATGCACACAAGCATAGAAGTTATTTATAAATGTTTCAACCAACAAAAAATAAAAATTAGCATAATAAGCAGAAATCCTGTTAGCACAACTTCCCATTTACTGCGAAGGAATAAATAATAATAGAATATAGGAAAATTCTTTAAAATTTGACTGAATAATAATCATAGATTTGAATGAGGGGAAAATTATATTACTTTAGCCATGTCATTAATCAAGGGGTGAGAAAGGCATTAATTTCAACCTTGTTTTGAATCAAAATTTTAGCTTATTGGCACAGTATACCAGTAAGGGTCTCCCTGAAGGAGGGCGGGATGGTGGATGGGAAGAAAAAAACCGGCATTTCGCCATATTCGCCCACAGACCCTAATAAGATATCTCACAAGGTTTATGCTATATAAAGTTCAGAAAAAGATCAGTTCATTCATACACAGTAACAATGCATGTGGAAAGTGCTTACCTTACAGCCATCAAGAAAAGGTCCTGCTTTTGTGGCTTGTACTAAATCTATTTCCTCCATGAATTGTTTGTACTCATTATCTTAAAAGTCAAAGTAATTTACTTATGCAGAATTATTATTATTTCATTTTAATTTTTTGTAAATATATACCTTGTGATTGTTTTTTGGCCGCTTTTTTTGGTAAAGATTGTATCAACATAGAACTGGCGACACTCATGTTAGTCTCATCAATTTCCATATTTGATACATCTTGTGCCATGGGAACAATTGAAATATCCGAATTGGTCATAAAACCTGCACATCAAAAAAATTTTAAACGATTTAGTTTGTATTATTATATACATGATACATACTTTTGGGTTCAGAAGTTGGCGTAGAAGATTTTGGTTTGGCGACGACGATATGGTCTATCGATCTGACAGCTGCGCCTTTTTCAACCGATTCATACACCCATGAAGGTGTCAGGCAAGGTATGCCCCAAAGTTGAGCATGCTGGAATTTCCTCCCCTCTGCTTCCCCGATAATTAAAACGACAGTTTTGTTTTGTTCCAGTGTTGGCATGTAGACACCACCTAAAAATATAAATTGCAACACAGATCACTACAGACCAAATTTTCAAGCAATTAAAACTTCAAAATGTTTACACAAAAAGTGTGATAAAAATAAAATTTCCCATTTAGCATAGTAAAAATTTTATTTACCCATTAAATTAATTCTTGTCGAAAACATTGTTTATATGTTAATCCATACATGTTTAGTGGACATAATTGACCATATTAATTATTTAAATTAATTATTTGTTTAATCTGAGGTCTTAGTTGAGATGCAAAGTCACAAGTGGGATTCGATCCCACAACCTTCGGCTCAATACGCTACTGCTCTAACCAATTGTCACAATAGCTCAAGTGGTTAGAGCAGCTGCGTATTGAGCCAAAGGACGTGGGTTTGAGTCCCGCTCGTGACACTAACTTTTTCATCTCAACCAAGACCTTAGATAAAAAGAATAATTAACTTAAATGGTTTATATGTATGTATTACTTATGGGCCGATAAGTGATTATCACTGGCCCCCTACACCTTAATCAAAAATTCATTGTTTTGTTTATTTTCTTTCGAACATCTTTGCCACTGATTCTCATAAACTGTTTCCTGTTTTTTTATCTTGCTAACCTCTCAAAAATACCTCAGGTTGTCAAATTGTAATTAAGAGAACAAGAGAACATATAAACACATAACACACAAAGATTTTCATGCTTTCCACCTCCCCTGGAAACTCCATTAGCGATAGAAGCCCTGCCCCTCCAGCTGAAACGCCTGGACAAAGCAAAGAAGAACTCCCATAATGCCACGGCAGAGCTGGCAGACAATGCCTCCAAAAATGTGCTCCCCCCCAGAGAGAAAGCCATGTCTGGCGTCATGGTACTGGATATTCCAATGATGACGATATCCTGTCTCCTCCCAAAAGTGACAAGTCTGGTAATCTCCACTCTCCCATACTCAATATTCCTAAGGGTAGGTTTAAACCCTCCATTCATACTCATAAATTCAGACAACACACTTTCACCCCAGAGTACTCAATATTCCTCGAGGTATTTTATGCGATTTATTATATAATCAACCAATTATACTAATTTTTAAATCACAACATGTACAAATATACAATTAAATTTTATCTCCTTATTTCCTTTCAAACTGAACACGTCTAAAAAGAGAAATAAAAATTGTTCTGCATTATAAAAAATCTCGGTAAAAATTATTCGGGTGATCTCTGAAAATCACGCTGTGTATTTTCATATTTTTATTGCACATTATATGGCAAATTTGAGTTTTTTATAAATAAAATATTTGAGGTTTTTATAAATAAAATATTTGAGGTTTTTACCAGCACATTGTTATTATATGGCCTATTTGAGGTAAATCTTGATACCATACCCCTGAGAAGAAATCCTTATTTCATAAAAGATATAATATCTTCCAGGAAATTAGCAGAGATTGACACAATAAGACAAAATAGAAATTATTTTAGGTGCATTTCGAATACGGCAATTCACTTTTTGGAAAAGATGATTCTATTGGGTTGTCCGGAAAATAATGCAGGATTTTGGTATTAANAAAATCCTGCATTATTTTCCGGACAACCCAATACTTACAGACGTTTTAGCCAGCAAGTTTTTTTTTTACTACAAAAAAACTTCTCTGATTAGAACTATCTTTTCCAAAAAGTCAATAAACGAAGTTTTAATTGCTAAAACAATACAGACTTACAAATCCATATGAACAGGAAAAAAATTATTCTTCTATTAATAAGGGATTTTTTTAATATCAAATAATTATTTTATATTTAAAAATCTTGAATTAATAGAAGAATCATGTTTTTATATTTAATTTTATAACACTTTATCTCAAATTAAAAGAAGAATCCTTTATTTTTAAATTTAATTGTAACTGTATTAATTTTCATATGATCTAAAAGCCCAATTATTTTATATTTAAAAAAATCGCAAATATACATACATATACATTTCATATCATTTCCTAATTTTTTTATGGTTTAAAGAAGGGGTTTTCCTTCCAATACATGAGATGGACAATGGTACTGAAAGAAACCGAAAGAATTATTCAACTCAAATGTGTGACTCGTTTTGACTATTTGTAATAGTCATTCTAGCAAATGCCCCTTACGATCAAATGAGACATCAGCATTCTAAGCAGTGGTAATAAAGAAGAATATGTTAGTGTATAGTTATTATTATTTAGAATTCATGAGACGTGGTCTGGTGTGATGTAGATTTAGAAAAACATTTTCTTTATCATGCCAACATTTTGATCTTTATTGAGATCATATTCAATTTATAATATAGCATAAATAGAAAAAAAAGATACTTTTTCAAATGTTTGTTTAGACGTTTGATATTTTCTTAGTTTCATAAAGTTTTTGTGGATATTTTGACCAAATTTTAAGAAGATTGATACACGAAATCAATTTGAAGTAACAACAGGCCAAAGTCGCTAACTCGCAACTCTCGACTCAACCGAGGCTTCAATTTGGATAAATAAAAAAAAAGATATTTTTCAAATGTTTTTTTAGACTTTTGATATTTCCTTAGTTTCATAAAGTTTTTGTGGATATTTTGATTTTAAGAAGATTGATACACGAAATTAATTTGAAGTAGCAACAGGCCAAAGTCGCTAACTCGCAACTCTCGACTCAACCGAGGCTTCAATTTGGATAAATCGAAAAAAAAAGATACTTTTCAAATGTTTTTTTTTTTTACTTTTGATATTTCCTTAGTTGAAGTAGCACATAAACATTGTTTAAATTATACAAATACATATAAGATATGACTATGAATTTATACAACGATGTACAGAATATAGAAAATTTAGGTTTAATCATAATACTTGTATTCTCAGAGTGTTTTTCTGTGTAGATGTGTCATTTGTGTGTCGTGTTGAGAGTGTTAGTGAGATATTAAAGTTTTTTTGTTTATATATTTTGATTTTGAAGGAGTGGGGAAGGAAGTATGAACAGAATTTCATTTTTCTATGAGGAGTCTTCTTTGAAGCAAAAGGGACTGACAATGGAAAAATTCAGGCCTGGTTAGCTTTTCATGATTATTACAGATGGGATTATTAGAGGGGAGATAGATTGTTGGAGATTTAGACTATGTAGAATTGTAGGATGTATGGAGTGTAATGATTGTTTCATATGTTGTATTATATGTTTTGTGTGTTCTATGTACGTTACTGATATCGAATTTGATTTATGATATTAGCGTAGCTGCGGCTGAATTTACATGTGTCTATTCGGTAATTGAAGCTGTGTTTGTCTCTATTGATGTGCAGTAACTAAAATTACCTGTGTAGTAAACCTCTAAAATTTGTAACTTAACTTGTCATTGTTTGCTTAATTCTCATGCTTAATCCAGACAGTAATTAACTTGATTTTTTCTTTTTCATTTAAGGGCGAGATGTGAGATGTTTGATTGTAAAATAAAAATAGTTTAAATTAGATAAAATGTTTGAAGCCTACTCTAAGAGAGGAGCTGTGTTTGTCACATCTGAAAAAGGGTTAATGGGAAGTTTAAAATGGGTAATTTGGAATTTAAAAAAAAAAAAAAAAAAAAAAAAAAAAAAAAAAAAAAAAAAAAAAAGTTAATTGGAAGTTCAAGTGTTGATTTGACAGAGAAAAAATAAACTTTTAATCTGAATTACAATTTATTGTCATATGGACTTCTAACAGCTCAATTATTTTATATTTAAAAAAAAGCAAATATAGAGGAATTTTACTTGACATACTCATATTTCATACCATTATGCTTAAAACGCTTAAAAGATACGGTTAATATAAAATTAAGGGGAGCAGTCCGTCCCTCAAAAAAAACGAAGTTTTTCAGGGACCTTTTTCTCAACCACCAGTTGTCCAATCAACCTACCTTTTTTTTAATCATTTTACCATTGAAACTCTATTTTGTTAATAAGAAAATTTTTAAAACCTACTCATTGAATTTTTACAAACTGCCAAAAGTTGGTCTTTTTTCCAAAATTTTTAAAAGCTGTTTTACCCAAACAACCAAAAAACTGTACTCGCAAAACAAACCCTTGATGTGCTGAATCAAACAAACAAAACAAACTTGGAAATCGATTCAGCAGTTTTCTAGAAAAAGGTACCAATGTTAACAAAATGTAAAAATAAATTTTACAGGAGAGCAGTTTGTGGTTTCTAAGGTGACTCTACTGCTTAACGTCTAGATTCATTGAGGAAATTATTTTTTTCTCAGTGTATTATCTATCTCTTTAACATTGTTAAAACTTTCTTGAATAACTTTTGTTTTGTTTCACCAAAAGGTGTTACTTTTATTGTTTTGTCATTGTATTAGTACAGTTTGCACCATCTTTGTTTTCAATTATTTTCAAATCAACTAATTGTTTACAAATTTGTGTTTATTAGCATAATTTTGAGTTGAACTACAGTACTTCAATAATGCATTTTCTTCTCATTCAGATTCTATCGGTGTACACAGCTCTAGCAAAAAAATTGGTGAGCTTGATTATTTAGACCAAAAAGTAGTCAAGTCCAATTTATGGCATTAGGTTTAAATATTTATTTCAGATAGTTTTATCTGATTTTTAATTTTTTTTTTTTTTTTTTTTTTTTTTTTTTTTTTTTTTTTTTTTTTGTTATTTTTGTCACATTTTCCAGTTTTTTAAACAATTTTTTTGAACATTTTTGGGTGGACTACTCCCCTTAAAAGGAGTTAATATGAAGTTAAAAAGGGTTAATGAAAAATGTTAATTTGGAGTCAAAAAGAGTTAATTTGACAGAAAAAGATAGATAGATAGATAGATATAGGCTCTAAATAGAAAAATACTATCTCACGATATCCGAATAATCATTAACTAATGGTCACTAAACACCACATAGAAAAATACAATTAAAGGTAAATACCATGTGATTCAATTAATGACTGAAGTTTTCGTTTTGTCGACTGCGGCAAGTTACTGCACGTTATGTGCATCCCTTTAAAAGGAGCGAGTCGGTATTTCAAGAATTCGGCATCTGTCGCCAATGCATCTCTAATATGCGATGCATCCCAAACAGCTTTGACCCAGCTGCTGCACATAATTGGTATTTGAAGCTCAATAGCTTTCTAACAAACAAATAAATATTTATAAATAAATTAAGAAACTGCATGGCACTAGCCTAATTGGCCAAATGAAAATATTTAGAGGAAATTTAACAAATTACCTCACATTTAGGGGATCTGCCCTCATCACTAATCAAATAAGTCACTGCCTTTGTCAGTTGATCAGTATAACTTCCACCCATGTATCCGATAAAGTTAGCGAGCTCTTGCTACAAAAAAAAAAAAAAAAAAAAAAAAAAAAAAAAAAAAAAAAAAAAAACTTTTGTACAGAATTTTTCGGTTCGCTGTATTACCTTTTCCACCCTGGACATCCTAGAAGCAGTGACGACAATTCCGGCCATGGCCATGGTAAAAACAGGCGATTCATTTTCGGGAATAGGTATCTTTTTTGACAAGCAGCTACACAAGCATCTAGGCCCGACGACACTGAACATAAAAATATAAAAATAAAGACAAATCTAACTCCAATCCTGGCATCGAGGTAAATTTTTCAAGCAATACTCACAGGCATTCTTTTGAAGAGAGAAACTGAAACGTTTCTCCCTTGAAATGTTCCAGGACGAACACAACGGTTCGACCGTGCGGTAGATCATTCACATCTTCCTCAGACACTATTTCCGCCTTTAACCGTGCTTCTTGACATGCCTGTATTTGAAGATTAATTAAAAAACAAAACATTTGATGTTTAATGGCATGTTATTCATAGGTGACAGCAGAACGAACAATGAAATGAAACAATGGCGTGAAGACAACTTTTAAAAACAATTGACGATTTACTTTTCATTACGTTTGGCATAATTTCTGTGCCTTCTATGTATTTCATGAACGATCAATAAAGCCATTGTTTTTTCTTTTTTTTTTTTTTTTATTTAATAATCTTTAGGAGGTAATTATCTTACCGTAAAAGCCATCCGCATGTCTTTGTTGTTCGAGGTGGCATTTTGAACAAAATATATTGTTATTTTACCATTGGCGTTCCCTGTTAAAAGCCTCATTCTCACTTTGACAGGACGAGCACTTAATTTTTAAAAAACTCAAAAACTCCAAAATATAAATAAAGGAAAGAAATTCGTGTCAAATAAAGGCCGGTGATCGAAAACTGCCGGCCCGTACTGGAACGCGGTACAAAACGCCGAAATTGACAGACATAAGAGTTAATTTTGAATCGACCGTACCCGAGGGAGACGGGTTGCATATTGAAACCTCCCGCCTTTTCTCCCGCCAAACTTCCCCTCACGGGGGCGGCGGTCAATTTGGTGACATCACAGTTGGGGCTCAAACTAGTTAACTAGTCGATTTTAATTTTCTCTCAACATTTGATAAACCCGTAAATTAAGCAAATCTGTTATAGTTGTAACAGCCATGATCGGAAAACAATATTCAAAGATAAATACTCGTGGAAGAAGTTTCGTAAACAATCCCGTGAAATATTTAAAATATAACAAATTTTTTTTTCTTCTCTTTTTACATCCAGGGTTGGACTTCAAATTTGGAATTTATAAAACACATGCAATCCCATTTTTTATTTTTTACTTTTTGCCTATTTTAAGATTAAGAATCAACTTCTATGAGGTGTATGTGGAACAGGCCAAAGTGGATAGGCACAAAACAATCAATAAATGCTTTGTTCATTTTGTTTAGATGAAAACGAAAATATCTTTACATTTCACCAACTTCAGCAGTTGATCAGGGTATAAGCAGGGTGAGGAAAACTACAAGCGCACAGGATGTGCCAACACAATAATGCTGGCCAGAGTAGATGAAATTTTTTATTTTGATCTGCCTGTCCTCGCTGCACTGTTCTGTCAGATAAGTTTCAGCATCTTCAGTGTTTGTCCAGGATTATTAGCTGGGTGAGGAAAGAGTATCAACCCACAGGATGTGCCAACGTATTAATAATACTGGCCAAATTAGATGAGATTTTGTAGTTTTGATCTGCCTGTCCTTGCTGCATTTGTCTGTCAGCTGAGTTTCAGCATTTTCAGTGTTGGGCCAGGATTATAAGCTGGGCGAGGAAAGCATACAACTGTAGCTATAGCGCATCTTGTGGTCCGGTCCATGGAGGGTCAGCCCAGCTGAGCAGTTTGGGTGTGTTTTCTACCTCCGGGCTTGCGGGGATGTGTGGATGATGGCAGTGCATGCACATCCCCAAAAGCAGTTTTACTAATGTATCTCCCTCAGGGAAAGTTTTTGCTGCGTGGAGCTGTCCCCATTTCATCTTTTGTTCGCCTGGTACTTTTGGTCGCAGGTGGGTTGGCATGTCGTCCTTCGGAGGTATGCTACTTTTTGTACAATGGCAAGATATTGAAGAAATGTCAAAAATAAATAAATAAATAATTTGGCTATAACCGATCATTTTGGTCTACCCCATCTTGGCTTCATCAGTCTGTCAGAAAAGTCTCAGCTTCTTGCCATCTTCAGTGGTCAGTCAGGGTTGTAAGCAATGTGAGGAAATATTACAAAAACCTACCGCTGTGGACATGTCAGATAATACAGACCGAACTGCACGAGGTTTTATAAATTGTTGGCACTTCAGCACTTCACTATCTTCAGTAGTTGGTCAGGGTATAAGCAGGGCAAGGAACGACAACAAACCCACTGTATATTTTTATGTCTAAACATGTATGACACATCAACCAAAATATAGCAAATTTTTTTGTATTTTGGTCTGCTTATTTTCACTTGGTTGATCTGTCAGATGCATTTCAGCATTTCGCCATCTTCAGTGGTTGGTCAGGGTTATGAGCAGAGTGAGGGAAGACTTCACAAACCAACCTCTGTGGACATGTCTGATAATACTAACCAAACTACATGATTTTATATTAATTATTACCGATCATCTTGGTCTGTCCCATCATTGGTCTGTCGGAAGTGTTTCAGCTTTTTGCCATTTTCAGTGGTTGGTCAGGGTTATAAGCAGGATTAGGAAAGACTCAAACCCACCATTGAATAATACTGGATGTGCCAAACCATGTCTGATAAAAATGGACAAACTACACGAGATTTTGGTCTGCCTACTATCACTTGGTCGGTTTGTCAAATGTATTACAGAACTTTGCCATCTTCAGTGATTGATCAGGGTTATAAGCAGTGCAAGGAAAGAAAAAAACAGCACTGATGCAGGATGTGTCAAAACATGTCTAACATAATGACCAAACTACGGCATATTTTAAAATTTGATCTATCATTTTGGACTTATATCTTGGCTCCTTTTGTCTATCAGACAGCTTTTCACCATATAATTCTCCCCTAACAAATTTATGTTATTTGTATTTTACATATATATTTAATTTAATATATTTTGAGGTGAAAAGGACAATGAACTTTGGATTTGTACTATTAAACAAAACAAGGCATAACCAGTGAATATTCATATAAGAAAGACATGCGTATAAGAAACATTTTTTTATTGTTTTTTAAAAAATAATTTTACATTGAAAATTAAATATAAAATGATAGAATTTAGTTCTATCTCCAAATTGATTTGTCTATTTTTTTTAAACATTAAATAAAACTTTGCATTATAACAAATTATATAATGAAAATGACAATAAATAATAGGTATTCGTTTTGTAGAAAAACTGTAAAGGATGCTTTATGAACATTTAAGCTGAGCTTATTTTACTAATAAGTATATTTTAGGAAGGCAGCTCTCTTAAAATTGCACATTTTGAGTAAAAGTTCAAAGAAACGTTTGAATGTATCAAAAACAAATTAGATACAAGATTTTAAGAATGTAGTAAGGAATTACAAAATGGTTAATTAATACAATGTAAAACATTAACCATCCTCATACTGAAAATAGCTTAAAAGAGGGAAAGAAAATTATATTAATTCTAAATCTTTAGACGGGTTGATTAAAACCACTGATTTCAGAGTGAACAAGGTTAAGATTATTAACAAAATTTTTACGTTTGAAATTGGTAAGCTGGCTAATCTCTAAAAACACAACCTGTCCTTATACAAACAATAAGAAACTGTTCAAATTTAATCTAAACAAACCTTTGTATGTGTAATATACTTCTATGAAAGATAAACATACATAATTCCATTTAATATAAATGAATTCCTATTCTCATTAATATGTATTCTGCATTCTCTCACACGAGCATGCAATAAATTCTGATAGTACATGATATGCTTGCAGAATGTCAAAATATTGTTGAAATCATCATAACATCGCTTAAAATTGGATTGTAGAATTCGTCGATAATTTTATCCATATATAACACCACATTCATGTACATATAACATTAAACAGTACAAGTATAAATTTTTAATATTGTTCACGTTATTACACATCAGACAATTGTCACAATTATCGAAATTACTTTTCTTGCATGAAAAAAAGTCCTCTCATTTTTATATCAACTCTAAATTAGGTGCTTCAATTTAAAACATCCGTGAAAGTTAATAACACAATAAGTTAATGACACTGCCAGCGCCATTTCTGCATGAGAATCAAAAGAAAAAATTATGGGGAATTTTTTTGTGATACAAGTTGTTACAAACTTGACTAAAATAGTCAGGGCGAGTTATCTTTTAAAAAAATTAAACAGTAACAACAGAAATATGTCCAAATTTAATCAAAAATATTATAGATTCCTTAACCAAACTATTTTAATTGCATATGGAAGCCCAAAACGGTTTCATATGGATGGTTCCAAAATTCTTTAAGTGTCTTCTTAAAGTGTCAGCTTTAATCAGATAATATGAATGTCAAGAAATACTTATACAATATTAAATGGAAGTATAATAATTAACGACATTATTAAAAAAATATTATTTATTTATGTTTATCAAACTTGCAATATCCAGGGCGCTTAATATATTTACATATTTAAAATTTATAAATGTAAAATGCAAGCCACAAAGAAAACCTGGAAATAAAACTCTTGAAAGCCTAGACGGGCAAAGGATTGGCAATTTGTGTTTTTCAAAATAACAGTTTTCTTTATGGTTTTAACAATCGTTCTTTTACAAATAACAAAGTAAATTGAACAACCTCTAAATATTCTACAACATAATGCCTAAAAGGATTATTATTTGATCTATTATCCTCTTAAATTCTTAAGATTCAGAGAATCTAAAGCTAAATCTAGAGGAAAAATATAATAATAATATAAACAGCGACTGTCACTTACAGACCAAACATTTTAGAAAATAATGTTTTTATTCTTTATTTACAAAGTACAGAGTTGCATTGCTGACAATGGGTCGACCTATGCTCGTAGGTTTTTATGTACTCGATATACATCTTCAGTGAGGAACTGTAACAGCAAAACTGGCGAGTGTAGACAGACCCTGTGCCAGTTCAACATGCGTTAACCGACTCACAGACTAACTTTAAATCCAAAATCAAACTGTTTAATAAGTCGGTATTGGAAATATATCAACAGAGTTGAAAATATTTGTAAAATGTGAGGTGTGCAAGCAACTACACGAAGAGCATCCACTTTTTTTGTGTTTTATTTTACCATTTTCTCGGAAGCTGGCACTTACAGGCTAATAGGAAGTTAATGGTTCAAGATAAAATAAAAATAGGCTAAACAATTAGAAGTTTAGAAAGATATAGGAACAATTTGTTATAACCTTTGTTGAACCATTTCAGTGATGTCCATTTTCCCTTGACATCGCAATAAATAATTAATTTTAATAACAAAAGTTTCATGTTTTCATCTGTTAACAAAAATTTTACATTCGCTAAATTAGTAAAGCGGTTACATTTGCACAAAAACTTAACATTACCCGGCTAGACTTGGATAGTTTTTCCTACAGGGCTCAATGTGAAACATCGCCACAAAGACGTTCTAGTTGTAATATGTGCTTGTAAAATCCTACTTAATTGGCCCGCATAAACACAACCGGGTGATGCATCTATTTGTTTAAAAAAAACCAAGCCAATGTTATAAAGATATGATTAAGTTTCTGTTCACAAATTTTGATTCCCCTTTTAAACGTTTTTCCAAATAAAATACAAATCTGTGAATAAATAAGAGACAATTGTCACCTTTTATCATTCTTATAAAAAGAAACAAGCAAAATAAGTCAACAAAAACTTCTATTAAAACAAAATATACAAGAAAACACTCGAGCTTTTTTGAAAAGTGTCAATTTTGTTAAGAAAACAAAAGCAAAGACCGAGCAGATTTCGACTAGTATACAATCAAGATGAATAATTGTAGATGTTACTATACATTATTAATCGACAATGCAATCATCACATTATTTCTACATGATTGAAACGCTTCCTCCCAATAATAGGCCAATTTCAAAAATCTTTATGTAATAACGTTAGAAAAATTATTAATTTAAAAATATACAATTACCATTTAATCGGACCAAGTCAACTGATAATACATTTTGAAATGAGCCTTCGTTATGCAAGTTAATTAGTATGCGTATAATTTGAAAATTCCTATAAAAAGAAAATCACAAATTTCATTGAATAATGCAAGTCGTTTTTACCATTTTCAGACAATTTTTTTATTTAATTTATCAATTCCAATTAAACCATACATTTTTTGGATCTTAAATAAAACATTTGAAATCAACTTTCTGCTACTCCTAATAATAGAGTTTATTCGTCCTGTTGAAAACAAACATGTTTAACATCTGGATCACTGTTGTGTAAATATTGAAATGACTGAAAAAAAAGCTGCCAAAAATGAGTAAAAATTATCACCTAACTTTTAAGATGGCTCAAAAATATCTAAAATTGGTTTTTAAAAATAATTCCAACATTGTAACCGAATTGTCTAATGTGCATCTACAATAAAATGGTTCAATCAAAATGAGGTAATAGTTGACAAATGGTCACAACCCCTGTTTTTTATCGTTTGAAAACATATTCACACAATTTAACCACTAATTGTATAACTTTTTCACCTACACTATAAATACAAAAATACACCTTTTCAATATTTACACATTCTTTTGCTAAAAGCAAAAATTTAAATATTTTTGAGCAATCTTAGATATTGTGGTGAGAAGTATTTCAAATACCAGAAAAACCACTGTCTTTTTTATCTTTTTTAAGTTATTGATTACTACAAAGAATGAAAGACAAAGAACATAATTATTTTCTTAAAAATTATAGACTTTACAAATCTATGACTTGGCAATATTTTTTAAATAATTTTTTATTGATATTACAAAGTTAAACACATTTAATATCGTGGACTTTTTTCCTTCTCGACCTGAAAAACAATTTTAAGTATAGTTTTAGAAATGTTAATAATACATTCAATATTTTAATTCATTACTTTATATTATACATCTTTTTTTTTAAAAAATTGCTAAAATAGTTAAATTGTACCATTCATTTAAGAAAATCGGATGGTATATAAGCATCACTGACCTAATTTCATCTGACTCCTAATCTCTTAATTTTGTTGAATATTTTTCTTTGGTTTAATATCTTTGAATTCTTTCATTATTAAATATAACAATATAAATCAAAAAATAAAGATAAATAAATCCTTAATTTTACACAAAGTTCTTTTAGAAGAAAAGTGGTAAACGAATTTTTATACAATTGTTTTTGTCAATTAATTGTGTGCAAATTCATTAATAGTGGACTAATAGAAGGCACATATATTTAATATTACTAAAGTTATGGAATCACATATAAAACATTCATTCTTACTGTAACAATTTTACCTATTTAAACCTTTGCATTGCATTTTACTTTCAAGGTGTTATTTACATTATTTAAATAATGTACTAGAGAACAGGTGATGAAAGAACAGTATCTTGAACGGGGAAGCACCTAAATAAACGTGTATATTCATACTTACATACACTTGTGTGCACACGCACTGACTTCTCTTTAAATGGGTCATAAAACGGCAAAATATTACCTTTCATTCAATTTATGCTGATAGTTAACATCTGTTCCTCTAGTAAATTATATCAATGTTAAGACAGCCAATCACTTTTTAAAAGTAAATTGTAATCGATTCATTTAAGGTTATTAATATTTTGAGATTTAATTTACAATAAAATATTTACTATGTACAAAATAAGTGAACTTTAGTTCGCTTATGACTACTGGAAGATTGACAACAGTTGGTATGAACATGTACCTTGTTACAGAGCCAACATATTCAAGTTGATCAATGAAGATTATAAACAACTCAAAATATCAATTATGAGAACAAATTTAAATTAATCCGATTTTTCTGATGTTGAGATTGACGGGGAAGCAATCATAATATATTCCTGGGGAAAATCCAAGAATACGGTTACATGATATCCCATGTTTGCCGCTGCAATAATATATTCGCACAATGCAAACCAGGAGAATGCTGAAATCAAGAAAATAAAAATATACAGTAACCAGCGATTAAGTTACAAAAAAGTTAATAATGTGGGATTGTAAAATAAATCCGTAGTGCTTTTCAATTATTCGATTTTAACCCTCTTCTGTTTTTAATCAATGTTTATTTAAATTATTATCGTTTATGCATACTAAAAAGGGTGTTTTTTCATCAGGTTTCGTTCGAGACATTGTATTTTTACAAGCGTTCTTTAAAACGAAGGGAAACTTTTTTTAAATTTTTTTTATTACCTCAGCTAAGACTGCTAGGAAAATTTGTGATGTGTATGGTGATGTTTCAGGAGAAAGCATGGCTCAGAAGAGAAAATTTTGATTTGGAAGACGCAAAGCGCTCTGGGCGTCTTTCAACCATTAACGTTGATCAAATCCAAGGTTTTGTTGCTTTCGCATTAAACATATCTGACACAAGCGTTTGAAACATCTGAGACAAGATTGATATGTTTTTCATAGTGATATATGGGTTCCTCGCGTTTTCTGAAGAATTTATTAACCACATCTCCATCTGCGATCCCTCTCTTAAAATGCAATGTACAAGGCCAATTTTAGTGCGACAAAAAGATTGAGACATTTTTACTGCAAGGAATTTGAGGAACAGCAAGCGGAGTTTACAAAGACAGCATTTTTGGTTAATATAATTGAAAATTCTTTTACTTATGAAACACTTATAGCCTCAGAAAATTAATTTATTTACACGTTGCTTTTTAAATTTGTAAAAAATTGAAATATTTATAATTAATTTGAAGAGAATTTGGGGTGGAGGGTAGGTCCTCTCGGGGTTGGGGCCATCACAGTGGGGTAGCACTGAGGAGCTATTGGGTTTCTTTGTTAACCTGGATTTTGTTGGGGATGTGGACAATGGTGGTGTGTGCATAACCTCAGTGTGGTATGTTAACCAAACTACCTATAAACTAGCTTAGAGTGCTATGAGGTGTCGCTCCAGGCGCCCTTTTTTTCTGTGTGTTGTTCTGGTCTTGCAGGGGCATGGGTTCAGCCTGAGTAAGCATTTAACTGTCGGTAAAATGGCAAGGTATTGTAACTAGAGGTGAAAAGTTTCTTTAGAACAATATTCAGAGAGGAAAATCCTGTGGAAAATGAAAAACACACCCACTGTCTACTCCAAAAGCTGGAATACACAACTTAAAAAGTGTGGTGAATTTTGGGAGACTGGAAGGTGGTGCTGCTTTACAAGTTTCTTTCTCCCAATAAACCATTAATTCTAGTGCGTACTGCACACAATTGGAGCGTTTAAAAACAACATTGGACCAAAAATTATTATTAGTTAATGGCAAGAGGATTGTTTTCTACCAACATAGCTCTCGCCCTATTTCTCTGTAGATGCGCCATAAATTGCTGGCGTTTGGCCACCCAGTGTATTCACCTTGCCCCTTCAGATTTTCACTTATTCTCTGAAAAACTCTATTGATGTGATAAACCTTACTTGAGGACTGCTGATAACATGGTGAATAGTTCCTCGCCCAAAAACCAGAGAAGTTCTGGGAGCACGGAATTACAAAATTACATGAAATATAGCAAAAGGTTGAAGAAAAAATGGTTCATTTATAGTTTGATTATTTTTTGTTTTATTTTTTTAAGTACCTGAAATTTTAATTGCATTTACAATCAAAAAATGCTACGGATTTATTTTACGAATATATAAAAAAATTCATATTGTGTGCCTCTGCAATCCTTATGAATAACAATAATTAAACATTTTTAAAATTAGAAAATGTTAAAGGTACTAACTAAGGAGAACCAATTGAAAATTGGGAAAATTTAAGAACTTATATTGATTATATTTATCATACATAGTAACTTTTTGGCTCGGACAGTCTATATTATTTTGTCTTTGCTAGGTTTATCGTTTCTTCATTATCTCCTGACAAGTTCATCGAATTTCACATGCTAAATTCAATGTCAGGTATTTCTGCCATATTTTGAAGGAAACAACGACATTCTCTTTATGACGTGCGGGTCAAATAACTTTCCAGCATGCACTCACGGTTTATGGTCTCAATTCAGATAGCGACAATCAAACCTGATCAATACAATACAATCCATAGCTGATTTTTTTTTTTTTTTTTTTAATCCAATGAACTAGAAATTCTCGCGATGCTATGATTTTCACATCCAATCGTCGAAAATAAATAAACAAAATAAAGAAATTTTTTGTCGATTAGTAGCATTATGTGAGGACTGCACAAAATCTTCAGTTGAAATGAAAATTATGGTTATTAATTTCTGTGGTAAAAGAGGGCTTAATTCCCAAATACCCTAAGCGGATGAGGGATCAAACCACTTTGCAATGTTTTTCATTTTTCAATTAAAACACCAAGGGCTGTGCCAGGATTTGAACTCCACTAACGTGGCAAATACGAGTCAGATGCTCTAACCACTAGCGACTGCAGACTCAACCCAACTGCACCCAACAGTTGAGAGAGGGATTATTTCATTAATTGAAAATTTAATCCTGACACATAGCCGGCAAAGAATAGAAAAAAGGCAAGCAAATATTTACTAATACAAATATTATATGACAAATTATACAGTACTAACTGTTTGGGACCGAGCCTTGTTCAGATTAGAAGAATAATTCAGTAATTCAGAATAGTTTAGGTCAGGTGATATACATTGAAAAATAGGCTAGGAGTTTGGAAAGAAAGAAAAAAAGGACAAAGATGGTAGTGTCGTTTTGGATCATTTTGGTGGTCTGCCTATCCTCTTAGTTACTCCTTCTCGCCAACTTCAGTGTTTATGATCATTTTATTTAAAGCCTGCTACTGATGATGGCGACAAGTCGAAACTTCTGACCAACCAAAACTTTTAGAAAGGACCATCACACAGACCTCACAATGTTTAGATGAAAGTTCAATAAAAAATTGACAGTAGAGTTTGTAGCGGGCAAAGTTAAAAGTAACTGACCATATTAAAAAATTATAATAATAATAATAATACAAATAAAATTTAAAAAAATGCCACTAACTAAAACATGTTCAGATTAGCTCCACTGTACTATACAGAAATTTTAAAGAGCCACATATGAGGAAATTACTGTCAAAGAAAACATAACATCAGTTCATTGCCAACTCATCATATGATTTCTAGGATGATTCAATACTTTGAATTGCATGAATCCTTCCTTTTAACTTTGATAAATGAAGGTCGGGTGAAAGTTAGCATATTAAAAACAATTGGAAAAAAAACCTGTGATTTTCAAACTAGTATCAACTTACAAAACAAACTACTAATATACTAATATATGCTTACCTAAATCATGACAAAAAAATCTGTGCTTCATAAAGAAGATGACAAGTCCGGCGGTACAAATTATAGATGTAACAAAAAGTCCCTTCTTTATATTATATGAAAACTGTTGAGACTTAGTCATACTTTGGTGAGTACGTTTAAATACCATTAATGATATTAACATATACACTAATGAACTAGTCATGAAGGTGATAAATATCTTCTCATGAATTGCTGAAAGCAAAAATCAGTATTATAAATTTTCCTCTATTTCTTCGTTACAGGCACAAACTGAAACAGACTTACGGTAATTATCTTGATTGGATATATACGTGACACCAATCAGTGCTGATATTTCTATGATATTCAGCCAGTAACTGACAGTCACCAATTTGAAACATTTAATCTGGTCATCATAATTGGTCAGAGATTTTATACGTTTAGTGTAATAATTATAGTAAACGGAGGCAATTAAAAATCTTGGCCCAAGATGAAGTGCTATAGAAGATCTCCAAAGGTATCGCTCAGGGCTGATACCAGTAATGGCACTAATAGAAGGAATTACATTGTAAACCTGCAATGGGTTAAACATTCAATAAACAATAACATCAGGAATAAATAATGTAAAAATTAAAAATACAAGATGTTTTAAGTTGATAATTACATTTTATTTCCCACAGGATATACGGAAAAGTAACTAAATTTGATTTCATTACGCCTAAGAATGTAAATTCTAAGTGAAATAAAGGGTACACACTACACCAACGACTAAAGTACTGAGAGCGATCACAATAAAATGCAAATGAAAGTTTTGCAAGGCTTGCATGCAAGAAAATTAAAAGGAAACTTTTAGAAAAAAAAACATAGGGTGTCTGTCCCACCAGATTTGAGACACCCCCTGAACATTTTTGCTTTCTGTCGTAGAAAATAATTTCAAATGGTAACCCTCTTCTTTATTTTCAACCTAGTATTTTTCTATGTTATGAGTTCTTCTGAACTGTCCAGGATAACACAAAATATCAAACTAAACTTTCCTATTTTAAATTGGAGTACCTATTTTTTCTTTGTGTATTTAAAAACTACAATTTTTTTGTTTTTTAGTGAATTTTGGTTTCAGATCTCTTTCTCAATTTTTCGGAGTTATATATATTTTTAATAATAAAACCAAAAACTGACTATTTTTTGATCTCAGATACAAAATTATTGTTTATCTCTGTAACATTTCACCGGCTAATGCACTATTTTAATCTTTGAAACAAGCTATGCTGACAAATTCATAGTTTAATGAGATAATGAAACTTATTCAATTGTGTGGTGATTAGTGACCGTTAATCGATAATTATTCAGAAATCATGAGATGCGGTCTGGTGTGATGTAGGTTTCAGAAAAACATTTTCTTTATCGTGCCAACGTTTCGATCTTTATTGAGATCATCTTCAGGGCTCAAAGTGTTTGTCTTCTGTGTAACACTTTCAACACGACACGCAAGAATGGCACAATTACACAGAAGACAAACACTTTGAGTCCTGAAGATGATCTCAATAAAGATCGAAACTTTGGCACGATAAAGAAAATGTTTTTCTGAAACCTGCATCACACCAGACCGCATCTCACGATTTCTGAATACTTATTCAATTGTGTGGTGATTAGTGACCGTTAATCGATAATTATTCAGAAATCGTGAGATGCGGTCTGGTGTGATGTAGGTTTAGAAAAACATTTTCTTTATCATGCCAACGTTTCGATTTTTATTGAGATCATCTTCAGGGCTCAAAGTGTTTGTTTTCTCTGTCACTTTCAACACGATACGCAAGAATGGCACAATTACACAGAAGACAAACACTTTGAGTCCTGAAGATGATCTCAATAAAGATCGAAACTTTGGCACGATAAAGAAAATGTTTTTCTGAAACCTGCATCACACCAGACCGCATCTCACGATTTCTGAATACTTATTCAATTGATTTAGTTATTCCTTTCAAGTCTCTTTAGTTTATCTGCCCAGTTTATCTTGAATTTCAGCAAAAACACTGTATGGAAGGACCTTCATTCTTGCAGAATGCTCCCTTGCCAAGTGCATATCGTTCAAGGCTTGCGCCCTGGAGATGAAGAGAGGCGCTTAAGATTGTTTGCCTCCATCAATATCGTTTTAAACAAATAACTCCATTTTTTATCCAAGTGTTTGTGGAGAGATGAACCCAAATTTACAAACAATGGAATATGACAGCTGGAATTTTCGAACTTGGTCGAGTGAAAACCCTCACATTACATGTTAGACCCAGCACCAAGTAGTTCAAGTGTGGGCTTTGCTTGGGAACCAAATCATAGTAGCGTCATATTGTCCTGAATTTCAAAAAGCTAATAACAGAAAAACACTAGGTTGAAAATAAAAATGGGTTTTACCATTTGGAATTGCAACGGCAAAAAGTTAAGAGGGTGTCTCTTATCTGGTGGAGTCACTGTATAGTGCTACAGATTATTAATTTGTTAATTTAATCAAAAATGGAAGCTTTATTCAGAATGTTACTTATGTTTATAAAAAAAAACTTTATATATACATATATATATATATTAGTCAATACTACATTGAACTTTTTTTGGGATTAAGCACAACACAAGTAACTAAAGAAAGAAATTAATTAACACACATTTTTTAACCCTCCAACACCATTAGCATTCATAGCTGATGCATTTAAAAATTATACCAAAAAATTAAGTAGAGTACCAGAACGTAACCAGAAGTTAAGTACCAGAACAAAACCAGACTTTCTACAATAATTTGAACCGACAAAAATTTTCTAGTCTGTTTATCTTGGATACACACTGAAGATGTGCGAAATGTCAAAAGCATCTGATGAATTTAGACCAAACTTTTTTTGGTAATTCTAACTCGAAAATATTGGACACATATCCACCACTTCTTATGAATAGGCCCTGGTTTTGCACAAAAAAAATTAAGTTGAAATTTTCCATTTTTTAATATTTTTATTTCACTTTTCTACTTGCTCAAACCAAGATGTGAATATAACATTTTACACCATTTTTCATGTAGATTGTAATAAAAATATAGTAAAAGCTATTAAAGATTATCCATAACCAAAAAATTTCTAAAATCCTAACAGTATTCAAGTAAACTAGGTCATTTATTTTTTTCTTCTTTTCTTTTTTATAAAAGTAATGGAAAATTTCGTTTTAGCAACTCTAGAGACCTCTAAAATTTTTCAATTTTTGAGAAGTCATCAGAATATCTGATTAAATCGCTATTATTCAAAAAGGGCTAAAAGGATTTCACTGTTAAACAGACCATTTTAAAGAAGAGGAATGTAACTTTTTAACGACGGACATTCCATTAAAATATATAAGACATTTCTATAAGAAAACAACAAATTTGGAAAATTATTTGTCAAAAATTAACTTTTTTTTTGTTTAATGGAAATAATAGTTTGATATTAATGATTATTCGGAGATCGTGAGATGTGGGCTGGTGTGACGTAGGTTTTAGAAATATTTTCTTTATTGCGCCGACGTTTTGATCTTTATTGAGATCATCTCAGGGCCTGGGATTTATAAACATTGTTTAAATTTTACAAATACATGTAGGATGTGAAAACATGAATTTCTAGCATTGTAAATTCATTTTTTCACATCCTGCATGTATTTGTAAAATTTAAACAATGTTTATAAATCCCAGGCCCTGAAGATGATCTCAATAAAGATCGAAACGTTGGCACAATAAAGAAAATGTTTTTCTAACAACACCAGACCGCGTATCACGATCTCGGAATAATCATTGACTAAACACCGCACACATCCGATATTAATATTTTATTCAGTTATAAAATGCAGTTGACAATTTCTTTAAAACAATTGTCAACCATGAGAATCAGTTTACTAGCTTTCGAGAAATGGACTAGGAATGTCAGAGGTGAAATTATCAGTGAAAAAATTAATTTACACCGACTTCCGTGAAAGTTGGTATCCAAGGGTTTTATAACGCTAGAATCACAAATCTGACAATGGGATCAAGTTTTGAGCAAAAATTAAATAAATTTAAATTCAAACAAAAATTTATATTCCATTTGAACACTTTATTCTGACTATTGGCGTAGTAGGTTTAATAAAAATAAATAATATAAAGCTTCCAAAATGATTTTTGACAGGGTGTTAGCATTGTACACACTAAACTTACAATGTGCTACATAACAGTAAACAAAACGTTATCTATACAGGCTGATGTTAATTATTTGACACATGCAATTAGCATGCACACAAAATCAAGAAAAGTTTTTTTTATATGTACTTTTGTATTTATATTTTTGATGTTTTATGTTATGTAAGTCTAAAATAAGTATGAAAAGAATGTGGCCAATGACTTGACATATGTCGCAGGGATATTATAAAAATGGAGATTTAAGCGATTACCTAAGAGAACAGATCAATCCACTGGAGATTTTACGATTATTTGACATAATTAAGATTAATTTCTATTGATAATTAATTCAGTCCTGCTAGATCCTCGGTATTTGAAGCGTTAATGTTAATTACTTCTGTTGTGGATAAGTCCTCTGAAGTTAAAGCGTTATCGTATTGCAGTTTAAGAAACTAATCCATATCTTATACAAACAAGCTTCTCAAGAAATTCTATGTGGAGCAGTGTCCTTTTTGGCTCTGTTCCAAATAAGGCTTTGCACAAAAAAAAGTGAATTTCTTATGAAACTGAACCAAGTAACAACGGACAGGCCAATTTTTTGTCATTGTCATGGAATGGAATTAAAATCTTGATTTGTTTGTGCACTAGAGCTGGCCAGTGTGTGGAAGTGCTAATAAATTTTTAGGGAAAAAAAACACTTGATTTGATATAGCGCTTTGTCTTTTTAACATATCTCGTAAAACGATCAATTCTGTTAGGGATATCAATTTAATCTTTTTTTTTGTTTTTTGCAACATATTAGTCGTCCAATTATGGGAAGGTAAAAAAATAATTGATTTATAAAAATAGTGAACAGGTGAATAATGAAATCATTAAGAATGTTAGAATGCTTTATCTGTACTGTATTTTCATAATTTTCCTCTTTAGTTTTAATTCAGATATCAGAACCGTTTTGATTAACTGAACCGACCAACATCAATGAACTGATTCAAATATGGTCTGTGTAATCACCAATGAACTTGACAGATTTGTAAACTGTAAGAATGAAACACTATGATGAATTAAATTTGTTTTTTAGTCTATGGATGTAATTGTAAGTATGTATAAATAAAAGAAAAATTATAATTAATACTGTAAAAAAGAAAGATCAATCACATCAAGATAATTTAAAATAAAGCAGTTCCATATGAAAGAACCAGAGAGTTTTCTTTTAAATAGGGCTTGTGATTTTTAATATAAAAAATACGGTTAGGGATAAATAATAAAAATAAAATATAAAAAAGAATAAATACATAAAAAATATAAAAATAAAATTATATAAAAATATATAAAATAAAAAATATAAATAAAGCATATAAAAAATATTAAGACATTGCCCACAATTTTCTCTAAGAATAGCAGCGTTAAAGACCATAAAAATAACCCATCAAATTGAGTTTAATATTCACAATAAGAGGAAAGACAGAATCAAGCACATTTTTTATTCATGTTTCGTTGATAAAGACTCAAGGGCATAATGTCATTAGGGAGTCACATTAAGTAAAAAGATAATGAAATCTCTTTCAAGAACATGCGATTTGGGCGAGTTAACATGCTAAATAAAATTTTCAATTAAAACAAAAAAATATATACAAGCATGTTAAATACCCATGTCTAGAAGACTGCCACAACTATTCGATTTAAAACCTAAAACAGGCTAAGCCCACATTTTTATTATTAAATTCGTTCGTGAAGTTGCAAGTATTTGTAGGAGAACAGATTTTCTTAAAACAAACAGCACATTTCTTGATTAAGTTTGGACAAGAGGAACTTCAGGGTTGTTAATGTATGAATCAAGTTAAAAGGACGTTATCAACAAATATTTTACACTATCTTAAAGAGGGAAAAAATCCTTTACTTACAGTGTCTGTTCATCTTATCTATCTGCAAATTAGGAATGTCTTTAATTAAAAACTTTCTTATCTTGAAAAATATTTCATAAATATAATCAAATATATAAACAAGATGATTGTGAGTTTTATCGGTTGGTGGATGGGCCTACGGCCAAGCTGAATCAAGAAAAACATGTTAACTTCAGAATTTATTTTATTTTTTCAAGTCAAATGCAATATGAAAAGGCAATCTCTTATCAAACAATAAATACTGAACAGCTTAAAAGAACATATAAAAAAAACATTCAATGCTCAATAACCAAAGAATCGAAAGACATGTTGAGTGTGGCATTTCCAGCCTTGAAAATGAGGAAATAAATCATCGAAACGTTGTACGAAATTTTCTCACTTCGGCTTAGCCATAGATCCATCCACTGACCAATAGAAAGTTAAACATTGACAATAAAGTTGACAGTCACTGAGTCAATGAACACAACTGGAATTGAACCATGAAAGCCGGTTGTTCATTAATGGTTTTATGTACTCTCTGTAAAGAGGAGAAAGATCCTTCTTTATCGGTCTGAGTTATTAAATAAAAGGAAAAAACAACTTTTTTAAAATTCTAATGTTATGCCTGTTAGTGACAGTCTCGGTTTATATTATTATATTTCTCTCCAAGATTTAGGCTTTGGTTTCTGGATCTATAAATTTAAGAGGATTAGTTTAAAAAAAACCTAAAGCAAAATCTAGATGAAAATATAATAAATATTAAACATATTAAAAAAAAAAAAAAAAAACCAAGCGTTTTAGAAAAGGATCTTTTGGTTTTTAATTTACAGAGAATATAGAGCATTGGGTCTACATTTGAGGGTTTTTGATGTTACTCAAACACGTAGTGTCATCTTCAGTGAGAGTGGGAAATTCAACCAAATATGGCATAAAATAAGTATTTGAGTTATATCAAATACCCACAGTGATTCAACAATGATACTGTTCTCTCTGAAAATACAAGAATAAAAAAATCCTTTTCTCAATTATAATGTTTGGCTTGTAAGTGACAGTGGCGATTTACGTTTTTGCGCTAGATTTAGCCTTAGGTTCTCTGGATCTATAAATTCCACAACATAAATGTCTAAAAGGTTTATTATTTTAACAATTATCCCCTTGAATTCTAGGATTCGGAGGAACTTAATAAAAATCTAGAAGGTAAAATATAATAAATAATACAAATATAAACAGCAAACTGTCATTTGTTAACGGGACATTTTAGAAAAGGAACTTTTTGATTCTTTATTTACAGAGAGTACAGAGCATTGTCGAAATGACACTGGGTCTACACTCACGGGTCTTTGTTGTTATTCGAACACTTTGCCATCTTCAGTGGGGACTTCCTGTCTGACGAAACATGGCGCAAAGCCGAAACGCATTTGAGAACCATCAAAATCCATCAAGTGGTTCAACAATACTACGCTACTGTTCTCTTTGTAAATAGGAGAATAAAAAGCTTGGACATAAACAATTGAAAGCCTAGGAATTGTAAAGCAAGGCAATGGAATGGAAATTTGAGTCTGTAAAAGTAAAAAAAAAAAATATAAAAAAATAAAGTGAATCATCCCTAAATATATTCTACAATACAAATGTCTAAAATGGTTATTATATTAACAGTTACCCTCCTAAAGTTATAGATTCAGAGGTCCTAAAGAAAAATCAAGAAGGAAAAATACAATAAATAATATAAATGAACACAGCGAACTGTCACTTACTGACCAGATATTTTAGACAAGGATATTTTTGATTCTTTGTTTACAGAGAGAACAAAGCATTGTCGAAATGACACTGGGTCTACATTCATGGGCTTTTGATGTCATTCGAACAATGCGTCATCTTCAGTGAGGAACCTCCTGTTTAACCGAAGAGGGCGCAATCAAAAACCCACGAGTGTTTGAAAATGAGTTGGTAATTATTGCCTAAGTTAATAGTAAATCTGTCAATGTGAACTAAGTAAAAAAATGAATAAAGTTTTGAAATTCTGAGTAAGTGAATGTTCACCGTGGGACTTTTCGATTGTGGCAGTCTCCTTCGGGGTGTGCAAAGTGCACTTACAGCTATTGTTAAAGTAAAAATTAAATAAAATAGATTTACCCTACAATGAGTTTCATGGATTTCACTTTGCTGGAATATAAAAGCTCCGGTAAAACAAACGACAAGAGCTATTAGAGGCAGTAAAACAGTAAAAAGTGATAGTTGCCGGAAGCTAATCTTAAAATAGACCACTTTTTCATTGACTTTAGAATTAGTCGGTGTTAGATCTAAATCCATAATTAACGAATGGAAGCCCAAATGTCCTGTAGGCAAAACAAAAAAGAAAAAGAAAGGACAGTCTATAAGACCGCAATAAAATTGGAGAACTAGATAAAAGTAAACTTAAACATGTATATATCTAATATAGACACTAAGTCTAGGTACGATCGAAGTAAGACGGTTAGCTGAATCAAGATACCTAGTGATTTGTTGTTGTTAATTTACGAGACCATCTTTTTCATAAACGTTATTCGGCCTTCGGCGTAACAAATTCGAGATGAGACCCTCGGCTCGTCAAATTCCCTTCCATTTTCGGAATTCGGATGTTTAAGGGGTTTTTTCCAAAAATCTGAACGAACGGGTGGCTGGGCCGGCCGCCGGAATCAGGCGGTGGGCGAGACGATGCGTAAATTTCAATTTACGTTGCGTAGATCACGGGAAAAAAGGGGGCTTATTTACCGACGGCGGTGTCGAGGAGGTGGACCGTTTGCCCGGCAGGTTTTTACGGAAGAAAACATCAGGGTTGGAATCAGTGTTCGGTGGGAAGCACGCTTGCCAATGGGACGACGATAAGGAGCAAATTTACCGAAAAACGCCGTCCACGAATTTTGGCGAAGGGCGAATCACGCCCAACGACCACAAAACACACTCCTCGCTACTACTCACAACCAATCCTTCAAAAGTCTTTTTTCAAAATGAGAATAATTTGTGTTCAAATTTAAATCTTTGATTGGGGCTACCGACTTTTATAATTTCTATCGCCAAAACCCTTCAAGGGAAAACACATTTTGCACTCGGAAGTACATCCAAGAGCTAAACTTAAAAACAACCCGCACTGAAAGATGATACCATAAAGAATCTAAGTACCTAGGTATAGCCTTAAGACATACAGGCAAACAATAAGGCCAAGACAATACTAAACATTAGCAAGAGATTATGCAGCAAAAACTGTCCAATAAATCCCAGGATTGGTTATACACCACCATGGTCACATACACTCCATCCAGTATGATTCCTAATCAATGGTCAAATGAAAAAAGACCACAAAATAAACCTCGCAAAGCAGCTGAATTCTGTAACTGGTGTCATATGAAGTTCAAATGTTAATTAATTAAATCAGTAACTGGTAAGTCATATGAAGTTGAATCGTTATTGTTAATTAATTCAGTAACTGGAGGTCAAATGAAGTTCAAATATTATTGGTAATTAATTCAGTCACTGGTAGATGATATGCAGTTGAATTGTTATTGTTAATTAATTAGGTAACTGATATGTCATATGAAGTTCAAATGTTATTGTTAATTAAATCAGTAACTGGTATGTCAGATGAAGTTGAATCGTTATTGTTAATTAATTCAGTAACTGGAGGTCAAATGAAGTTCAAATATTATTGGTAAGTAAATCAGTAATTGGTAGGTAATATGCAGTTGAATTGTTATTGTTAATTAATTAGGTAAATAATTAGGAAACACCAAAGTGACCTGCTGAGGAGTTCGTATTATCAAGAAATCAGAATTATCAAGTTTTGTATTAACAAGAGTCAACTGTATATCCTTTTTGTCTAACAAAATGTTTAAATACTACTAATAATGTGTAGAGATTAGTGACCGTTAATCGATAGTTATTCAGATATCGTGAGATGCGGTCGGGTGTGATGTAGGTTTAGAAAAACATTTTCTTTATCGTGCCAACGTTTCGATCTTTTATTGAGATCATCTTCAGGGCCTGGGATTTACAAACAATGTTTACATTTTGCATTGTATAAATTCACATTTCCACATCCTAAATGTATTTGTTAAATGTACAAATAAATACATTCATACACATAAATACATCCATACAATACACTCATTCCATTTGGTCGGTGGAGTACTTGATATTCCTCCACCGACCTATACTCAAACTAATCTAGATTGGGGTCGATGGAGTACTTGTATAAATATTCCGCCATCGACCTCGAACATACTACTCATACGCTCTCAACGTTCGAGGGGCGATGATGATGTTATATTTCACCCTCACACCTCGCCATTCACGCTAATAAATACACGCACTCAGACAAAACATAGACACACAACACATAAGATATATTACATACAATAAAAAAAATCCCAATTTCCCCTAAAAAGCGGAACAGGGGACCCAGAAACCCGCTGCAGTGCTCGAGTACCATTTTCAGATTGAATGGCATGCCGACACGCTCCATGTAGGGAGCCAAGGCATGACATGTTTCCAGTATGTGGGTCACATCGAGCAACCTTTCTCTGCATAAGGGGCACCTGCGTGGGCTTCAGCCCAAGAACAGGTGCCCGTGTGTCAACCGTGTATGGCCTATTCTTAATATCGTAAGGATGATTCCTTGTTTACGGCTCAGGTTCTCGGGGGGCCATCTACGAATCGTACTCTTGACACGCAAAAGCCTCTCAGACGACACGGCCCACTGACGCCATCTTTTATCATGTTCTTTACTGCTAACTTGGAGTCAGAGGGCCTGGTCGTGATGGTCCGGTCTGGAGGGTAGGACGTCCCGGCCTTTGTCGCCTCGTCCGCACTTTCATTACCCTCCAGCCCGACGTGTCCGGGGATCCAGACAACAACCACCGTTTTTCCCAAGCGCTTCAACTCGGCGAATTTTTCCATCAACAGCACGACGAGAGGGTCCACAGAGAAACTGTCTCGCATGGCCCAAACAGCGCTCAGAGAGTCGGTGCATACGAGGAAGGCAGATCCTTCCTCGGTCCGCACCACATCGAGAGCTTGCCAAATCGCATACACCTCTGATGTGTATTCGCTGCAATGAGGGGGGGGCACAGTTTATTAAAATTACTCTATATTGTCCAAGTCCTCCAATTGTCTTTATTATATCCAAGTTAAAAATGGATAATTTAAATTTAAAAAGGGACAATTTGAAATAAAAAGATGTTAATTTGAAGTTAAAAAGAATTAATTTTCAATTAAAAAAGGTTAATTTGTAGTTAAAAATGGATAATTTGAAATTAAAAAGGGGTAATTTGAAATAAAAAGAGGTTAATTTGAAGTTTAAAAAAATTAGTTTTCTATGAAAAAAGGTTAATTTGTAGTTAAAAATGGATAATTTGAACTTAAAAAGGGGTAATTTGAAATAAAAAGAGGTTAATTTGAAGTTAAAAAGAATTAGTTTTCAATGAAAAAAGGTTAATTTGTAGTTAAAAAGGGGTAATTTGAAATAAAAAGAGGTTAATTTGAAATTAAAAAAATTAATTTGAAGTTTTAAAAATGGTTAATTTGAAATGATAAACATAACTTTGAAGTCAAAAAGGGTTAATTTGAAATTAAAAAAAGGTTACTGTTTAGTTAAAAAGGGTTAATTTGGTGGAAAAAAGCTACAGGTGACATAATCAGTTCTCAAACTTTGAAGAACAAAATCAGGAACTATCCTTGGACCAACAGTTTTACCTTCTTTTTACAAATTGACTTATCAAGCCTTTCCAGGAAATCTTACTGGATTTTCTGATAATTCCTCAATCCAGTGCCAGTTATAACATTAGGAAAAAAGTATGAATAAATGGACTAAGGATGTTCAGTTTCAAAACGAAATATACAACAGCAAAATAACATAGGTAAACAACACAAGTCAATTATACTAAAGATTTTTATTTCAAATAACAAAAATATTTTAACTTATTTTTAAGGGAATCACAATCAAATGTTTATTATGAGTGTCACTCATACTGAAATGTAAAAAATTGCACAAAATTTTATTAATCGTCTACAAGAGTAGAGTCAACTCGCGTCTGGTCGACAGGATATAACCTACAAAATAAGAAGCACGTATAAAAATGTGTTTATTAGGAAAAATATTAATGAATAAGTCTTACCATCTCTGATAAAGATATATTAGGAACACAATGTCGTCTCTAAAGCATGCCAGACGATGGGCTATAGGCATGTCGATGACAAAAGCGAAAAGATCATCGATGAATGTATTAAAAGCCTGCAAAATCCAATATCATAGACAATAAGAATTGCAGGGAATTTCACGCATCACCTCTAAAATCTTAAAAATTCACCTTGTACATAAATGTCCTCCAAGGGAGATGAGCGACTGATTTGAGTTTATAATTAATGAATAGTTGAGGAAGCATAAACAAAAACCCAAATCCATAAACTCCATTGACGACACTGTGAATAATCCATGAATACCAACTGAAAAAAAAGAAGTTTTTTTGTGTAATTAATGGGAAATGTTTATAAATAAATATAATATTCAAATAGCCAAATTGAATACAAAAAACATACAGGGTGAGTTTAACTTCTGTCCCTCCTATATTTTTTAATGGGGTATTTTTAGGAAAAAACCCAAGATAGATAAACTTTTATTTTTTTTGTCTAGTTTCTCATGCTATTTCAAATGGCAAGTGCTCAATGTACATTTTTTAAACGGTTTTTTGACACTTGATTCAATAAAGCAATCAGCCACGATGATGAAGGAAAGTCATACTTTGATTTCCTCCCTCAGCCATCAACTACACTTCAATGCTTCGCAAACCTTTTAATTTTACAAAGATTAATCCTAAAAACTTATATAACTATGTTACCACCTTCTTGAACGATATAGCTTTAAATTTTAATACCCTTCTATAATAGTGCAATGTGTGTGTATGTATGTGTCAAAGTAACATAAGTTAAACTTGCTCCGTATGTACTAGAGTATTTGGGTGCACACGACAGAACCTCATCTGTACCAACTTCCTGAGCACGATATCTGCAAACCAGGACAGATTCTCGGTGGATCCTCTTGTGGTGCTCTTGTTGGAAAGATATGCTGAGTTGTGTCATTTTACATGTCAGGCTGGAGGGCAACAAACATGCCCATGCCAAAAATGAAAGCTGGAATGTCTTGCCCTCCAGACTGAACTACTGCGATCCGGCCCAGTGACTGTGCGAGCAGTAAAGAACGCTACAAGAGAATGCGTGGACCGGGTTGTCTGAGAAGCTCTTGTGAATCGACAACACAATGATGGCCCTCTAAGAGTCTGAACCAAAAAGAAAGTTTCGTACTGACTTTTTTGAGATAGGCCATACCCGACTGACATACAGACACCTGCTTTTGGGTCACAACATGCGCAGGTCTGTTTGTAGAGAAAGGTTGCTATGTCCCATATGATTGAAAAGTGCCATGTCTTAGCCCCTTACAGAGAGTGAATAGGCATGACCCCTGACATAAAGATGGTTCTCAAGCAAGCAGGTCAAATATTGGGTCCCCTGTTCCACTTTTTAAGGGAAACAAAGGTGCTTCCTCCCATATAGAATTGTATATACTCTGTGCGTGTATGTGCAGGCATGCATGCATGTGCATGTGTGATTAATGAGAGGGCTGATGGCAGAATATCAAGTACCCCATCAGCAATAACAATGCAAGGGGGGGCTGAAATGACTTCACTGTATGTAGCTTTTTAACAAATAAATAAATACAAATAAATAAATTAATTTAAAAAAATATAATATACCTCTTATGTTGCAAAAAGAATAACGAATAAACAGCTCCTGAGGCACAAAGAGGGTATAATAAGTACATCAGATATTTCATTCCCACTTTATCAAAATCCATTGTCATCTGCTCTTCTGCTGTTCTTTTTACTTTCTTGAATCTTAACCTCTTCCAATCGAAAGGCATTACTTTGTTAAGTTTCCAAAACTGAAAACAAAAATAACTGTATAAAATATAAAGAAAAAAAACACTGAGTTTTGCATTAATCCAATCCTAGCAGATAAAAGACTGGATAAAACCAGTGATAAATTGCTTAAAACATACAGAGGAGTCCTGTTAATCTGAATCTCCATATATCTGAACAAGTATCGGTTGACAGAGAAATTTTTCCGTTTGTTAAATATAGTTTTTGCATTTGCACATCGCTCTTCACATTTTCCATTTTTTCATGAAAAACTTCACAAATGGGAAAACTTTATTTCACTCGAGTACTGCGGAAAACACATGAAGAAGTTCATCGCTCAAAAACGTGATAAGGTTCTGGGAATTACAAACTAGTTCATACATTGTTCGTTAAATTTATTTACAAAAAAGATTTTTTTTAATGAGGATATTTCAACTACGAGGTTATGCCTTGGGGTGCTGGTGATTTAAAAAAAAAACATTTGTAAGTACGTTGGGTTTGAATCCAGCGGCCCTGCATTTAGTGTTTTTACCCCTTTACCTTACAGTGTTGAGCACCGTGTCAACACCTAAACTGTTACAGCCACTGACGTCCCTCAAAAAACAAAAATTACGGACTCATTTTATGGTCCAATAGATACATTCAAAATGAATTAATGATCAGTTATTGAGGTTTCGCACACGTCAAATTCTACTGCTGCAATTTGTCAGAATTTAACCCTGTTAGGTGGTGAACCTGTAGTTTGGTCTTTTTTTTGGTCAGACACATGTCGCCTTCTTCAATGATTTTTAACCAAAATTATTAATAAAATCTAAAGATGGCAGCATTCCAAACAGTGAAGCTCAGGATCAAAATAATGAAAAACAACTTAACTACGCTCTCAACTTTTCCGATTTTTTAAAACTTCCAGCTTTTTTAAAATTTCCAGCTTATTGTTTAAAGTATACATTTTTAATCTGGTATGTCCATACATATGTTAATGAACAAGACAAATTTTATTGTGTGTACTAACATTATTAACGCTTCTCTATTAACAAGCAATTAATTAAGGTTTTAAGTTGAGATAAAAAAGTCAGTGTCACAAATGGAATTCAAACCTACGACCTTCGGCTTGATACAACGCTACTCCACCACTTGAGCTATCGTGACCTCGATCCCCTCGGGCACTAACTTCCCATCTCAACCGCACCTTTTGAAGTGCCCGAGGGGATCGAGGTCACGGTAGCTCAAGTGGTAGAGTAGCGGCGTATCAAGCCGAAGGTCGTGGGTTCGAATCCTGCTCGTGACACTGACTTTTTTATCTCAACTCAAAACCTTAATTAATTGAATGTTATTAATTGGTCAAGCGGACCAAGAAAAAACTGAATCTATTAACAAGGCTTGATCCCAATTAGTTCGAATATTGAGATTCTACCGGAAAAAACAAAGTAAAATAATTCTTGCCATATAGGAGGGCTTAACGTCCAACTATCCATTGGATGTAGCAGACGAGGACTCAAACCACATTACATTTTTCCATACTATATCAATTAAAGGGACTTGGGCGGTGAACCGCGGGAAGGTAACACGTTCAATATAGCCACGTGCTAACCGGCGTTTTAATAATCACGTCTTTTACTCGATTCAACCGAAGTTTTCCACTCTGATGAGTGGAAAACAAGAGTCTAACCCTGTGAAGGAGTTAGAGAAGGAGAGGAGGCGGAATAAGGACGAGATGGAGCAGACAACGACGAAGAAGAAGAAGACTGCTGAAATAGTGGAGAGNACTACCTCGCAGAATGCGATAGGTATGCTAGGGAAAGATTTAATACTTTCGAAGGAGAGGACATAACCAAAACACTCCCCAGGATAAAATGGTCCACAATCCTGGGGTTTGTGAATAGGTCCAATAGGTTTATACAGGACTCGTGAGCCGACCAGGTCCCGGACCTTCTAGGGATGGGGTACGGGCCTACTCAGGCTTTTAACCCCTCGGGTCCTGGTCGCCCGCCCTGTGTAATATATATATCAATTAAAGTAACCATGGGCCATGCTGGGATTCAAATAAAGACCGTAAGCTGTAAAAGGTTTTCATGGTAAATACGACTCGGTAACCCTAATCACTCGTCCAACTCAGTCCCAAAAGTTAATCAATTTAAAAGTGATAAGCTATGCCAGGATTCAAACCCAGAACCGAACATGACAAATACGAGTCGGACGTCCTAAGCACTCCGCTACCGCGGTCCCCCAGGACTCTACTGTGTTAACCTTCTATTAAAGGACATTTAAATTTTTGAATTAAATAATTAGTTTTTAATAAAGCTCAACTAATGGATTAATTATAGATATCTCACCTCAATTAGAGTGCTAAATCCCATTGGTATTATAACAATCAAAGAAGTTTCTTCATCGATCAAATACAAAAAGATGGCTATTTGGCTGAAGGCTCTCCAACACACTGTTTTCACCGAGAGGCCTACGAAATTTTTTTTAGAGTTCCAAAAATTGACATCGCTTTTCATAGCCAAGAATTCAAGAAGGAACTAAACAATGTAATAAGATCGTCAATGGTATTGTTTAAAAAAATAAAAAATAAATAAAAAAATTACATGGATTGAAGAGATAAACACGGTGAAACCAAAAAAATATATACTTGTCCCAGAAAATACGCTTTTAACCTGGTCTATATCTTTATCAGAGAACCCGTAAACTTTCAGCGATTCAAAAGCAATCCTTGCTTGCAGTCTTAACCTGAAAATAATTGTTTGCGTTAAAAGTATATTTTAACATTTAATTTTATTAAACCATTTCACCTGAACTTTCCAATGTTGATTGGAGAATATTTTAATTTAATTGAAGCTTCACCTTTAGGGACTGGTGTTAATATTTCCAGCCGATCGCTAAAATAATCAAAATCCATTATTGGAAGTATCTCCTTTTTCGCACCCAGCCTAAAACAAGATAGAATTAACAAACTATAAAATTAAATTTCTTACAATTATGTATCGATAAGTACATCAACTTGAATAATAGATTCAAAGTCAAAATATTTAAGGTTATTAGTTAACAATCAGTACAATTTTTAGGCATAAAAATGGCCTTTTTAGAAAAAGAAAGAAAAAATAGTACAAATGAAAATAAAGTGCAGTTATATTTTGCTTACCTTATAAATGGTATTAATTCTGGGGAGTAGTTACCATGTGGCGGCAGCCCGTCAATACCAGTGACAATATTGAATGTTGCCTCTTGTTTTAGATGACTGATTGGGTCTACTTTTTCTTGTGGAATTTTCCCTACAATAAACAAGATATGAACCACAATTGTCTTTTTATACATTTATAAGAAAATTACTTAGAAGGAGAGGCTATAGGAAGTTTACCGATTAATGAAACATTTTTTTACTTATATGAAAAATATTAGCCAAGTGTCTACGTTGTCTTGCCGATGATCCCCCTGAGCTTTTTCCCAGGGGGGGGGGGCGAGAAAAAATTAAAGTAATTTACATTGTTTTCTTCTTTTTTTTTTTTTTTAATCTAAGCTAAGAAAATAAAATGCAGGGTTGTATTAAATGAGATTATATGCACAAAAAGTTACAATAACCAAAACTGCTTTCTCTAAAGTAAGCAAACATTTGTTTTACAAAAAGCTTTTTGAATTCATTTTAAGCAATTTTTAAAGCCTTTAAATACTAAATTTTAGTCCCAATAAAAAATAAATATTTTGGAGCTTGATTCTCTGGGGGCGATTTTTTTTTTTTTGCCTCGATGCCCCGTGTTGCACAAAAATTCATCTTCTGGAGTTTATCCAAATCCATCATTATTACAAATGTTGTAAAGCTTAAACCCTCTTCTTTCATTTATGTCAACAATGTTTAGATTTTTATGCCATTATAAGCAAGAAAAAAAGGATGAATTCACCAAAAACTGCTCAAATGGTAAATTTTATGTTATGCACATTTGCAAAAAAATTATTCGAACTTTACCTTTCAATAGATCTACATTCATGCTGGGGGCTTGGTACTGAACCAATGGAAAAATTGAATAGATTCTGTAGTAATTTTGTACAGCAGCTTGGAATGTTGGAATCTTTTTCTCAGCGTAAAATATAAAAGCATGCAAAAACAGAGTTCCATTGTTTCTTGTAGTTTCTGGTATTGTTATGTTAAATGATCTGTAAAGAAAAAAAAGTTATTTTCACCAAAAACACAATTTGTTAAAAATATTTTTTCTAAGCAGACAGCAAGACAAAAATTGTGCATGTGTGTGTCCTATCCATATTCCTCTAGGTTGCCTGGAGTTGGAACACAATAGGGTTATACCCTCAGGTTCTCTTGACAATACCATGCTTATTTACCTAGTTTTCTAAATCAGCTAGTCTACATCCGGAGGACACATATGAGAAACCAGCCAATGCTAGCATTCAGTGTGGGGGATTAAGGGACAAGGAAGTCTTGAAGCCATTGATGATTATGTTGACGTGGCGGGTTCTCAGGATGGGAATATGTAGAACGGGCTTGAGCAGTAGGGCTAGGATGGATTGAGAGGTTAATGTGAAACTTTTGGAATCGGGAACAGATCAGTTCATTGACAAAAGAAATGCTGAGGTCATTATGGATAGTGAAGCTACTGACATAGTAAGGAGTTTTGCCGATTTGTCTGAGCACTTTTGATTGAAAGGATTTGATGTGCTGGATTTTGGATGGCGTGGCAGAACCCCCGAGATCCATTTGTCCAAAGTCGTCTCAGTGAAGTCTTGTATAAAGTTAGTTTAGTGTTGATGGTCACGATGGATTTCAGTCATAGAATTATTGTCCAAGTCTTCTGTTAAGTTGTTAAGTCCTGTGTGGGAACCCACGCAAGTCTGCTATCTAGGTATATTTCTGAGTATTTGACACATGGAAATCCGTACTTCTTTTTTGTTGATGTCCTCCACTTCTTGCACCAGTGTTCAATAAGCTCAAGGTGTTCTTGGGTGTTGGAGGTAGCTTGGATAGAATTCGAGTTAGTAGAAAAAATTGTGTATCGTCCTTGTAGGTGTTGACAATGCTATTAGGATAGAAAGGTAAGCAGTATAAATGATGTAATTACTGTTATACAGGAGGGCTTACGTCCAACTATCCATTAGGTGTCGTGGACACGGGGGTCAACCCCCCCCCCATTTTACAATATTTCTTTTAAATAATTTTCATTTAAAAAGTCATGTACTGTACCGGGAAACCCAGAACTCTTAGTGTGGCAAATATGAATAAGGCGCTCTAATCACTGGGTCACTGCAGCCCCCTACCAATATAAATAATATAAAGAATGGGCCCAAGAATGCTCCCTTGTGTGATACCGGCTGTATGTCTGTCTGACTTCCAAGAACTCACATGCACCTCACTCTGACTCTCACAAAAATACGTGAATTCCTCGTGTACTTGACTGTTAGTAGTTCTTGGGAGTTTTAATAAATTGGTGGTAGGTTCCTGTACCATGAGGCATCCATGGGTAAGCCAACAATGACCTATTCTTAAGTGTGACAAGACATCTCCTTATTGAGTGTTCAAAAAATTTAAGGCCGTTTTTTTTAATGACACTTTTTATTGTGGTTAATTTCATGCCATTCATTAAGCCGTTTTTCCATATCTTATGTCTGTATCTGTATAAGAGGAACATGTGGAGGGGTAAATATGGGTTTACGAGTAGAAATTAAAAAATAAATAAAAGCGAGGTGCTGGTAGCTAGCCAGCCCGAAGAAGAAGAAAAAGAAAAAAGGAAGTCTTCACTAGAAACTTGGTTTGTGTTGGTTAATTTGGCTGCCCTATCACATGAATAGGACTAACACATTCTTAAGGGTTAATTTACAAACTTTACCATACACAAGATAATTCTCTCTAAAAATAAAATAGAATTTAACTTATAATTATTCAATTTATTTTTATTACCTTTCCCATGATTCATTTGGATCAAAATTATCAACTCGGACAGCCTCGTGAACATTTCTTTGCGCTGGCTGTACTCTGTCGGAAATGAAACCCACCATCTGAAATAAATACACACATTAATTTAATTAAAATTGTACTCAAATTCTAAAATAATTTATTATCAATATATAAATTACAATAGTTGTTAATCATAAGTATGTTTGGTTTGTTTTAAAAGCGAGAAGACGATAAATATTGAGCTCTTTAAATTAAACACAGAATTAAGCGCACTAAAAATAAAATATGATCCCAGATGCAGACTTTACAATCAATGCATCTTACAAGTGATTATTTTGAAATGACAAAAATTCAACATATTATTCAATAGTCAAGAAATTGCTTTCTATCTAATATATGACAAAATTACTATTTGAAGAATATCTTATATTATGGTACAAAAATATACTTATCGACCTCATCTGCATATCATCACAGTATGTTCTAGCATTTCATTATATTCAGTATAAAAAGGAGTAATTAAAGCTTTGGGAGGGATAGGCAGACAAGGTTGTGGGGAAGCAATGCCGACTAAATCTGGTATACAGATGGATTCAGAGTATGGGTCAGACGCTGGTATCTATGGAAATAAACCAACTATTGATCTCTGTGCTAGGGAGATCAAAAGGTTGGGTATTCTTCTAAGTGGTTGCCTAAACCCTTTCATCGGTAGTTAAGTTCAGAGCCATTTGGAATTGCATCAAGACCCTGTCAGATTGCATACAACAAAATTAGACATCAGGTACCAACTAATCAGTTAAAAGGTAAAACTTTTTATAGCCCTGAACACTTTTTTGGCATACCAAATTGCCAAAAACAAATTTATCAGTCTATGTGTTAAAAAATAAATTCTTGGTTCAGCACTTGTACAAGACAGGCATGAAAAAAAAATCTTTCAGGACCATTGCACAAACTGCACAACAACTAAACCTGACAAGTTAGGACTAGAGACAGTAGGACTGCGTACTCCGAAAGCATATAGACTCAGAGTAACAGAAACAAATATGTACCTATATTACAAGAAAAATGAAGCACCAGAACATATCCTCTGTTGGTGCAAAGGACGTAAAGAAGCTGACTTCTTTTCACCCTAACCTATCAACTTCCAAGGACCTTTAGGCTGATCAAAGGTCGAATTCAGCATTTACAGTCATTCTGATCTGCCTATCCTCCCTGCGAGCCAAGTAGACTAATCGACAATGGCGAATGGCCAAAATAATCGAAAATGACCAACAGAAATCTCACAGAATTTTAATTGTGTGTTGTTAGAATTGTATATTTCTTCAATTATTCTAATGAAAGGATTTGTACTACAATATTTTTTTGTGATAATACAACACTCATTACTTGTAAAGGCTATGTTTCATTTGGCTATTTATTACCATATAAAAAGCTTATCATCTTAATTTAATTAAACCAAAAAATGGTATAATAATCTGACCACTCAAGGTAGTCATTTTAATCAAAATTTTATGTTAAAAAAAAATATATATATACACACACGCACAGCAACATGATGGCCAAAAGGTTCAGTCGTCAGCCTCTCAGGCTGTCACAGACCACATAGTCGTAAGCTTTGATTTCCACAGAGCCCCTAGACTTTTCTTTCTAATTCCTCATCCCCGACACTTACAGGGAGTTGGATGTTTGGCTCACGTTGTCCAAATAAAAATTAAATTTGAAGTAGTAGAAATAATTAATAAAAAATAAAAGAAATTAACACAAAGGCTCCAGATTGGTTCTTGATTTTTACACCTTAAAATAATAATAATAGGGGTGTCGATAGCCGCAACTGTTTATGCTCATCATTGTAAGGTAAAGGCCCAGGGTTCAAATCCAGCGGCTCTGCATTCGAACCCGACATATTTACAAATGGGCTTTTTTTTTCAAAAACACCGGCATCCTGAGGGTTGATATGACCTTGTAAAGTGGTAACACGTAAAAAAAAAAAAAAAAAAAAGTTGAACAAAAACTGTCCAGAATTCAAGGGATTAAGAAAATTGACTTTGGCAAATTGATTGATGCGGCATTTTTATTGAAGACCACTTAATAGGTTAAATATTTATTATATTGTTCTTTAATATATTATTCTTTCTTTCTTTTTTATATAATGAATAAAAAGAACTTCTTTATCCTTTGTTTGCTACATATGTCTGGGCTACCGACATTGAGCATTGTAATCTTAAAAACATCAATGAAGTCTCAAATGTCCAAAAATTGCATCTCACCTGACCTCCCTTTGCCTCTCACTACAAGGTTTGTTTAAAAACCCGAGTGATTTGGTCACCCAGATGCAATTTGTCATTATGCAATCTTCAGTGGTGGATTTGTTTTCTCTCCTCACCCTGTTTATAACCCTAACTGAGGATGGCATATGCTGAAACGCTTCTGACAGACCAAAACAGCAAAGATAAGACAGACCAGAATAATGCTTTGATATTAATCTAATTTTTTTAATCTTATAATCTCAATATTCTTGGTTTGGTCCCTCAGAACAATTTGTATCACTATATCCCATATTATAATTGATTCTTTTGTACACCTATACTGCCCCATTTTGCCAGTGTTCGCTCACTGAGCTCATCAGTGAGCTTGGAGTTGTCGATCGATGATTATTGTAATTCCTTGATGAGGCTCTGTGCCCATTGGAATGTTTAAAATGATTAATCATGAAAGACCCACGAGCTTCCATTCTTTCCCTACCTGGGGCTTCCTCTACCATGTGGTTTCAGTTACTTGGCTCCAATGGAGCCCTTGTTGTTATTAATAACCAATAAGGCCAATCTTAAAAACAAAATCTTCTGAAGAAGCAGATTTCAGGTTTGAAACAGTCGAAATAGAAATTAGTGTGTTATGTCTCCTATCTCTGTTCCTACACCACAACTGATTGTCCTTTATATACCCATGACAGAACACCCTTACTGCCCAATGTTGGCGGTTTGGCAGAGATTGGTCTTGGGTTGGGTTGAGAGGTCCCTCTTCAGTTCAAAGTTTCTCCTGCTAGCTTGGAGGTGTCAATTGGTGATTAGACATCGACCACTTCTTGATAGCATTGTAATGTTTAAAAGGATAAGTCACAAAAGATCTGTGGTGTGGCAGGAGTCTTGGGCTGGATTAAGGAGTGTCTCCAGTGAGCTTGGAGGCTATTATATACATTTTTTGTTTAATTAAATTATGATGTTAAGCTTTTTATATAGTAAAAAGTAACCAAATGAAACATAGCCTTTACGAGTGATAAGTGTTGTATTAAAGGGCAAAAGAAAATATTGAAGTACAAAAGCCATCCTTTTATTAGAATAATCGAAGAAATATACAATTCTAACAACACACGATTAAAATTCTGTGAGATTTCTGTTGGTCATTTTAGATCATTTTGGCCATTCACCATTGTCGGTTAGTCTACTTGGCTCACAGGGAGGATAGGCTGATCAAAATGACTGTAAATGCTGAATTGCAACCTTTGATCAGCCTAAAGGTCCTTGGACATTAGTCGATAGGTTAAGGTGAAAAGAAGTCAGCTTCTTTACATCCTTTGCACTAACAGAGGATATGTTCTGGAGTTTCATTTTTCTTGTAATATAGGCTCAGGTTTGTTTCTGTTACTCCGAGTCTATATGCCTTGCAGTCCTACTGTCTCTAGTCCTAACTTGTCAGGTTTAGTTGTTCTGCAGTTTGTGCAATGGTCCTTTGATTAATTTTTTTCATTCTGTCCTGAGCGACTGTTGAACGAAGGGCTTATTTTTAATGCATTGTCTGGTGGATTTATGTTTTTAGCAGTTTGGTATGCCAAAAAAAAGGGTTCAGGGTTGAGAGGTGACAATTTATCAGCCGTGGTTAGGGCTCCAGTCAGGCTTTGAGGGAGTATGACAGTGACAAGGTCATAGCATTATTAGAAGTCAGCGTGAAATCATACATCACTCTACAATAGGAAAGATTCTTCAGCAGTTCAGAGAAACAGGGCTTTACACTAGAAGGCAGGACAGGGTCGTTTCATTCAGAGATTCATCCTCGTCAGGCTCTAAGAAACCACAGCATTACAGGAAATGAAATAAGAAATCTAATAAAGTCTAAAAGGTTTTGGTTTCCTCTAAGTTTGTGAGAAGAAGGTCAATCAAAATAACCTCAGGGCCGCACCCGACTCATAGACCTCTTCTTACCACAGCTCAGTAAAGGGCCAGGCTTCAATTCGCATGGGAATACAATGAGAATTGGAAATTGAAAGATTGGGGACAAGATCTCTTTACAGATAAGGTGAGAGTTGGCCTCAAATCTTCAGTTTGGTGTAATTTCATATAGAGATGGTCAGGAGAAAGGTACGCCTCATGCTGTATTGTTCCTCAAGATGGTGGAATGCCACCGCAGTTGGTCATTAATGTTCTGGAGTTTCCTTGGGCACCGGTATCATGTCGGTCGTTGTGTAAGAAAGATCTCTAACACAGGTACTTACAAGACAATCAAAGTGCATGTAGCGCCATTTGCCCCCACATCGGTGAAAGATTCTTGCCTATACAGGATAATGCCAGTGCTATGTATGTATTGTGGATGGCTGAATAAGGTTGGAATTGAGTGCTTGGTGTGGCCAACTCAAAGTCAACCTCGGACCAACGAGTTCAAAGGTGAAACCCAGGTCCTAACACCCATGAAAATTTGGAAATGGCTGGTCTTGATTGAGAAAGAATCCCTCAGGATTTTATCAGAAATCTTTTCGAAGGAATGCAAAGACATTTAACGGATGTAATTTGTGCCAGAGGTGGAAACACTTGGTATTAGAGGGAACAGTTTTTTTTTTTTACATTTTTTCTTTTTTTTTCTTTATTCAATAATTGTTTTTCTAGAATTAGGTAATAAAACATTTTATTTTTAAATGTCTTATTTTTACAACGAAACCTAGTTTTGGTATGATAAATATGAATAAGCCTAAATAGATTAAAATTTATGGGTAGTGTTTTTTTTTTGTCCATCCGTGTATTTCACTATTTCTATACTTCACTCTTAAGCGGCCCATAGGCGGTCAATATTATTGTACAATATAGATTGCACAATAATTTGACGGTTGCCCCTTAACGTTCAATAATATTGTACAAAATTTTGTTTGTGCAATGAACTTGAATAGTTTGAAGGCGATATTGAAGTTTGTGCAATATTTTCCACTTGTTGATACTTCACAAACTGGCTGATATTGTGCAATAATGCCAACAGACGGTGCAATATTTTCCAGGTTGTACAATATAGTTTCAACTTTTCGTCAATCATGCAGTGTATTGCACAAACTTTCAATATCGTCTACACATGATCAATTAAATTGCACAACCCAAAATATTGTGCAATAATATTGATCGTCTATGGGCCGCTTTACGGTCTGGCAGTTTGATCATACCAGTCTTGTCTTTTCATGCAGTTTCAATCAGCAACATGTGAACATTGAACGTAGCTGCTACAAAGCCTAACCGTAGCAGACTGAAGATCGAGAACAGGCAAACTGACAGTTCAGTCAGTTTGTGAACACACGATTTTGGTCATCGTGATCATAAATAAGAAGTGCAGCATTAAAAGCAGAGTGCACACTAACTACAATACAAATAATTCGATTAAAAGCCTTTAAATTGATGGATTACTTGTAGGTTTGGTTGAGTTTTCGTGAAATAATAGTAACATTTCTCGCCGGGTCGGCAGGCAGGAGGCGAGACGAAGAAGACCAACGATATGACGGAGTGGAGCACCCATCCGATGAAGGCGACCGACAAAACGGAAGTTAAAGAAAATTGCATCTGGAAAAATTACAACCGGTCAGTCATGGATGAAGGACACGTGTCAACAATGTACCTTGATTATGTGGGAATGTACGTTCTATTCCGCCGAGACAATTTTTTTTATTGTTTAACAATCCAAATCGACACGAGCCGCGAACAAAATCCAACTCTTAACAAATTTATGTAAATTGTTTCGTGGCAGTTATCGCGCTGGGCGTTCCGGCTGTCAACCGGCTACTAGCCTATTTCTGCCAACAGCATCCGAACGAAATTATTATGACTACGGGCTGTTATTAAATGAAATCGCTGGTCATATTTTGGGACTTTTCATGTTTTTGGTATAATATGGACTAAATCGAGCTCTGCCGATCGGCAATAAACGAACAGAACAAATGAATACGGGAAAGATGTGTCAAACGACATAGAGACACAGGTCGCATACGAATCGTAACGATTAACGAGCGACTCTGATGATAAACAATGACGTCACTGAATTACCCGCGACACCGGCTGGTGAATACACTCTACCTAATTTACTAATTCTGACAATTAACAACCTCTAGACATAAATTAAAATGCAACAATGCATTTTATTTAAGGTCGCGTGAGTCTTTTTTCACCGTGTTCAGAAGGTAGATCAGAGATTTATACAATTATATACACTGAGAGGCAAAAAAAAAGTGGCCACTATTAATACACAAGCACTGCAGCCTTTTGGCTTATTGTACTTTTCTTAGTTCATTAGTTTAGTCAACGTTTAAAAAGGAGGTGACTTTCATTGATGCAATTTTTTCATGAGTCTTCTTGGTACTCTCAGTTATGTCTCCATGGGTTGCATTACATTCAATGGACAGTTTCTTCCTGCTCATTGCATGACCTGCAATGGGGGTCATTATTGAATATATCCTTGCTGTGTTAGTGTTGTCTGAGATGAGTGACCGAGACAGAATATTATCACTACCCTGCCGATGATGATACTAGGAAGCGGGGGTTTGGTATTGCCAAAGTATTCCATCGTTTTTGCTTATTGTACTTTTACCAGTTCTTTAGTTCAATTTGTCTGATTCAATCCTTCCTTTTAAAAAGGGGGTAATTTTCATTACTGCAATTTTTTTCCTGAGTCTTTTTGGTACCCTAAGTTATGGCTCTATTGGTTGCTTTGCATTATCACTACTCTGGTGATGATTATACTAAGAAGCAGGGCTTTGGTATTACCAAGTACTGCATCATTTTTGCGTATTGTACTTTTATCAGTTCTTTAGTTCTGTTTTACGGACTGGATCCTTCTTTTAAATACAAAATCGTTGACTGACTTTGCTGAAATTCCCGAGTCTTATTGGTATTCTATGTTTTGTGGGCATTGGTTACTTTGCATTTGAAGATAATACGGACTGTATCTTCTTACTCATTCCATGACCTGCAATGGGATCATTATTGAATATACCCGTATGGTGTTGGTTTTCTCTGACAGTGACCGGTACAGAACCTTATCACTACCCTGGTGATGACGCATGAAGCGGGGCTTTGGTATTATCCTAGTATTGCATCATTTTTGCTTATTGTATTTTTACCAGTTCTTTAGTTCAGTTCAACTGATCCAATCTTTGCTTTTAAAAAGAAGTAATTGTCATAGCTGCAATTTTTCTTAGGTCTTCTTGGTACTTTAAGTTGTGTCCCCATTGGTAGCTTTTCATTAGAAGTTAATATGGACAGTTTCTTCCTACTCATTGCTGAGTTGGTGTTTTCTGAGATGACAGTGACCGGTAAGGAACCTTATCACTACCCTGGTGATGATGAAACAAGCGGGGCTTTGGTATTACCAAATACTGCATCATTTTTGCTTATTGCACTTTTACCAATTCTTTAGTTCTGTTTCACGGATTCGATCCTTCTTAAAAAAAAGATCATTGACTGACTTTGTTGAAATTCCCTGGTCTTCATTGCATTAGAAGATAATATGGGCAGTTTCTTCCTCCTCATTGCATAACCTTCCAATGGGATCATCATTGCATATGATCATGTATCTTTCTTTAGATGACCGGTACCTGTCACTTTTCTGAGTCTTACTTTGTCTAACTGTAATAATCTGCTTATCAGTTTTCCACTTCTCCTTATATTTCCATGTGAACCAATTCTGAGGTAGAGTGAATGTTTGATGTTGTGTTTTGTCGTAATTTCTCTTCGAAGCTTTACCAAAATATTCCTGCAGTATGGCTGAAATTGGGTTGATTATTATTTCAACTAGTTGGTCTTCAGTTATTCAGTTGTTGTTGTAAAGCAGATTTGTTCTTTCATCGTCTGTATTATTTTCGATATGGTATACACGATTAGACCAAAAATGCTCCCTTGTGGGATGTCGGCTTATAACGATCTGAAATCTGACGTTGCCGAATCGATGAGAAGGCATGATTCTTTTGTCGCGTGTCTTTCGTGAATTTTAGACACAACAGGAAGAAGGTCGATAGGTCTCTAGGAGGATAGTTAGGTGAATTTTGAGCTTTAGGATGAGAATGATTGAATCCGTAAGAGAGGAAAGTGAATGGAACGTAGGATCGCGGTTAACAATACTATGGCCTTCTGAGGAAGGTGTATAGCGGAGGTAATTAGGTCTTATCTACATACACATGTGTATAAGGTATGTGCATCGTCGTGGAAGATATCGTGTCGGAGCAGCATGCACTGGTTACTTAAGGTACATCTCAGCCTTCTTTTGGTTGACTAAGTATTACTATTTATGGAAATTAAAACACATTGTTAATTGTTTACAGTAGTATATTGTTCCAAATCAGACAAGCAGCTGGCGGCCAGCTTTGAACATTTGAGATATTACATTCATTGATAATGGGCATTTGTAATAGGTACAGTCCACACCTCCCATTCCCCTATTAATGGCCTCTTGAACAGCTTCATTTTCTATCATGGTTTCTAGCCACTCGGAGCTGAAAAATACAAACGGAACTGAAAGTACTGCCATGAATTGTTTTCTATCAGATTGCATACTTTACAAGAGGAGTCTTTCCAGCAACCCAACAGGCAGCACGTTGATAACATTCTGTTGAAGATATATCCATAGATTGCAACGCTTCCTCGACCCTCCTCATCAATGGCACTAGACTCTCAGTCGTAGTCGCTAAAAAAAAAAAAGAAATACCGTCATAAATAAAGTCATAACGTGTAATAAAATTACAATCGCCTTACTTTCAGCGTGCGGGATAAACAACTTGACAATTTTAGGCACGACTGTGACAAAAAGGAATAGCATCGCTCCGACTGTAACAAGCCCCCTTGTATTGACATTCAACGTCGGGTGTACAAGGTGTCCTGCATTTTTGTTACTGATTGGGATTTTCATAAAAGGAATGGCAAAATCAAGTTCAAGCTAAAATACAATAAATATTAATAAATATGAATTTAAAAATAAATAACCAACCTCATTTGCAATCACATATAAATACTGTACAAAAGTGCATATTGTTTCAATTATTTTCTTGGAAAAGTACACGAAGAAAATGTGTATGTAGATAAGACCTAATTACCTCCGCTATACACCTTCCTCAGAAGGCCATAGTATTGTTAACCGCGATCCTACGTTCCATTCACTTTCCTCTCTTACGGATTCAATCATTCTCATCCTAAAGCTCAAAATTCACCTAACTATCCTCCTAGAGACCTATCGACCTTCTTCCTGTTGTGTCTAAAATTCACGAAAGACACGCGACAAAAGAATCATGCCTTCTCATCGATTCGGCAACGTCAGATTTCAGATCGTTATAAGCCGACATCCCACAAGGGAGCATTTTTGGTCTAATCGTGTATACCATTTATAGTGCTGACTTTCTTATACATCCCAGGACATCATTACCACCTATGAGGATGACTACCAACATCTTGACTTGTCACAGTCTTGTATGCTACTACTTAACAGTAATGAGGTACCGACATCCACTTAAGCCAGATACGTAGGACAATACCTAGACGTTTGATGTCCCGACACAGTTCTTAAGAGACAACCTAACAGAAGACTAGGACAAATACGAAGACTTTTACGACCTAAATCTATTGATCAGAACACAACTAACTCTATACAAGTCATTACTCGAATATTTTAGACATAGAGAAGTGGGGTTCTTCCAACATACAGCTTATATCATCCTTCCATCAAAAATCCTCAGATTATTTGTCAAAGCTTACTATCCATACCGTTGGTCAAATGATCTGATCTCGCTTCTAACAGTTCCACGCCAAGCTCTCCGTTCAAGCCTAACCTTACTGTCCAAGCCTTCTTTTACCTTTCCCATCCCGCGAGTACCTGCACCTAGATGTCTTCGAGACCTCCTCGCACCTTAATCCCTAATTTACGTCCCACCGTGGGTTGGGATAGATTAGGGTTAGGGATGGTTTAGTTGTGGTATGATTAAGGTTAGGAACTGGTTAGGCTAGGTTAGGGTTAAAGTTAGCTATGGACGATATCGATAACATTCTTTCAATACTAGCCATGAGTACGGTAACAATACTTTTGTTTCGATATATTTAAAGTATTGATATAACTATTTCAATACTGGTGATGAATACGGAATCAGTACTTTTATTTCGGCATATTCAAAGTATCGATTGTATTGTATCGATACATTTTTTATACTAGTGATGAGTAGGGTATGGTTGCTTTTATTTCGCCATAAAAAGTATCGATTGTTGATAGATACAATTCTTTCAATGCTAGTCATGAGTTAGGTTCGTCACTTTCAGTTCGATATATTCAAGGTATCGATGGAATTTTTCTAATACCAATCATGAGTGGGTATCGATGATTTTGTTTCGACATATCAAACGTATCGATTGTACAATATCGATACTTTGAATAGCACTTTCAGTTCGATCTATTCAAAGTATTGATACCAATCTTTTCATACTAGTCACCAGGTGCTTTTATTTCGATATATTTGAAGTATAGATAATTTTATTTTTACAATCCCTAATTACAGGCGATGAAATCATAGCACTCGAGTCGCTTATAATAAGCTTAAAAATAGGCAGTATATTTGTATATTTGTATAATCATCGCTCCTTACTTTGATTTCTCCTTCTTCATTGTTGAAAGAAATAAATCTCCCTTTCTTCTGTAAGGCATTACCAACACCGTTGTCACTGGTAATACTGTCAATAAAAGAAATTAATAGTTTTATCCAGTCGATTTAAAAAAAAAAAAATAAATAAATAAATAAAAAAAAATACGGTACCTATTAGCTTCAGCTGCAAACACCAAATCAATAATACTTATGACTATGAATAATCCTCGAATCATGTTTTCCTAAAAAGAAAAAATTTTGTTCACTGGAAATAAAGAACTGATTAGGCAGGCGAAATGACCGAAAAAAATTCAAATTGACCCAACGAAAAAAGGCTCACAATTTGGTCTTTTTGGAAAGAGACCTAAAGAAATATTGTATACCACTTTAAAATGCTATTGTGAGAATAAGAGAAGGCAAAAATTTTTTTTCGTCTCGACATTCTCACTCTGCCATTTAATAAGATTTAGTAACTGATTTCTTGATGCTGCCAAAAACAGTCCACGCGTGAAAAAATAAATAAAGTAAATTGAACTAATTTATTTAGTTGATGATAAATTTGAAACTTATTTTTCTTCGTCAAAATTCCCACGACGGACTTCATTTACGACTTAATTTCGTACTTACAAATTGTTCCTCACTGTGCGTAGACAAAGATTCAGCTAAAGCACTCCGACTGAGACACAGCACAAGACTAAACTGTGAAAACCAAATGTCACATTATATATGCATGGGCTGGACAATTTTCAAAGCTCGAGCGACTTTCAAGCTCCTTACACAAAAATAATAGTGTAATCATCATTGTTGCGGCGAAAGAGAAATTTTCACAAAAAAGGATCGAATATTAATGCAGCGAAAATTTGTCGGTCCCTTGATATCCCCCCCCCCCTTGATACTTTTCCCCCTGATTTTTCGAGGTGCAGTGGATATAACAATAGATTTTTTAAAAAGTAGGATAAGAAATTATTTGCAGGATCGTGTTAAATGAGACTATATACATCAAAATATAAAAAAACCAAAACATTCTCTCAGTAAAGTAGTCAAAAAAATAATTTTTGAAAAAAACATTAGTTTAAAGAACCATTTAAAGCCCTTAATATTATATTTTTATTAACTGAATATTATTAGAGATCTTTTATGGAAAACAAAAATATACATTTTTGAACTGAATTCTCCTGGGGTAATTTTTTTGCCGATGTCCTATTGTGTTTCATTTAATTAACTCCTCTGGAATTTATCCAAATTGAACGTTATTACAATTCATTATATTTCCTGGTCCGATTGACCAAAAAACTTCTTTCAATTAATTAATCTTTTTATGTAAGGTATTGGTTGAAATGAAAAAGTCAGTGTTCCGAGCGGGATTCGAACCCACGACTTTCGGCTTTAACCAAAAAGAAGGGAAAATTCGAAAGGAAGGTTGAGATGGGGAGTTGGTGTCCGAGTCACGATAGCTCAAGTGGTTAGAGCAGCGGCGTATTTAGCCGAAGGTCGTGGGTTCGAATCCCGCTCGGAACACTGACTTTTTCATGTCAACCAATACCTTACGTAAAAAGATTAATTAAGTGAAAGAAGTTATTACAATTGTTGGAAAGTAGAATCTTTTTTCAGCCTATGCCAACAGTATTTAGCTTTTATGTAATTATAAATGAAAAGAAGTAGAATGAAATGAACGAAAACTCCTCAAATATTTTATTTTATTTATCCGGTTCTATTTTTTTTTTTTTTTTTTTTTTGCGAGGGTTTGCAACAGCAGAAGTCATATAAACCCTCAGGATGCTGGTGAAAAAAAGCCCATTTGTAAGTATGTCGGTAAAATTTATCAACATATTTGTCATTTTCGAATAAGAATCGTAGCAAAAATTTTGTTAGAATTTTTTATTTTATTTTACCAAACATTTGTATCCAGGGTATTTTGAGGATGCAAACAAACGAATATTGAATTTGTTTCTTCCTAAAAAAATTTAGCCCTGTTTGCTTTTTCAAAATAGCATAATTACCATATCTCTTGTAATGCGATATTTGTGACCGACCAGCGAAAGGCAGAAATGAACGAAATCCACCAAATTGCAGTCAATCCTGTGATATTGAAATTGGGCAACTTAAATTAAATTAATACTGGCAGTTTTCCTCTTGTGGTTTTCGCAGTGATGTTTTTGAACGTGTAATTTTGTGTTTCCGATCCTTTTTTGTCCCTTTCTCTCCGTTTATTAATTATATATTTGTTTAAACAGTGAAGTCCATGAGAAATAACGTTAATTGATCAATTCTCCAGGGTATAATGGAGGAAGAAAAGGTATTGATCTCGGCTTTGGAAACGTTTATGATAAACTCGGGTGTCTTTTATATTCAGTTTCCGACATTTAGTACAATTAGAAATTTAAGGGGTTAAAATTAGCGAAAGCTCATTTTCTGTGGTTAGGAGCATTAAACACTTGGACAGATTTCACTTTCTACAAGAAAAACCCATATCACAATATCACACTGCTCCAATTTAATCCATGCTCTACTTAATTCTATAGTGTTGTGCTTCGTACACATAAAGTGATTCGAGCTCAGTTTTGTTATTATTGGACAAATAAAACAATATCCTATTTGTACAGACAACATTCTGAGACGGGGAAATGATACGAGAAAAGATCCTTCCTGAAATTAAGATATAGCTTACAATTAGATAAATGGGTGATTAAGACTGCACGTACAAAATTAAATTAGATTTACTTCATTCACACGTTGTTTTGTTTGAATTTTATATAAGATGATAAGAAATTCCGATCCTCTGCTAACAAGAGAGGAAATCGCGGGGTCATTAGACGTCTTGGAGGATGAAAGGTGTTGCACTAGCGGGTTAAGATTAGGTTCCAGGTTTTTCTGGAGACGTACCGACTTATTGCTGTTTCGAGGACAAGCGGGATTTGAAGGCCTGTGGTGTGTGTGTGTGTGTGAGAGAGTAAGGTTGGATACGAAATAGTAAGCTTAGACAAAGGTTCGACGGATTTTGGGATGGAGCAACTAGATTTAGAAGTCAGAACGCTTGGATGAACCCCACAAAGATTGGGGTTTGAATTAGAATATCCTAGCAGAACAAAGTATAAAATCTAGGAGAGAGAAAGATAAATTGATACATAGATAGATAGATAGATAGAGAGAGAGAGTGAGGGAGAGAGAGGGAGAGAGATGTGGGGGAAAGAGAGTAAGAGAGATTGAGAAGCGGAGGAGAGAAGAAAAAAAAGAGAGCGCGAAAGAGGCGGGGGAGAAAGGGAGATAGAGTGAGAGAGAGGAGAGAGAGAGGGGGGAGAGAGAGATAGAGATAGAGAGAGAGAGAGAGAGATAGTGAGAGAGAGAGAGAGAGAGAGAGAGAGAGAGAGGGGAAGTGAGCGAGCGAAAAAGTGAGAGTGAGATGTGGGGGAAAGGGGGAGTGAGATTGAGAAGCTGGGGAGAAAGGGAGATGGAATGAGAGAGAAAGTAAGCGAAATAGTGAGAGTGAGATGTGGGGGAAAGGGGAGATAGAGTGAGAGAGAGGCGGGGAAGAGAAGAAAAACAGAGAGAGAGAGAGATGTGGTGGAAACGGGAAGAAAGATTGAGAAGCGGCGGAGAAAGGGAGAGAGAGAGAGAGAGAATGTGCAAGCGATTGTTTACTTTTACTTTATGAAAATAGTTTCTAAAACCTCTTGATATCATGGCCAACAACATGTTGAAGAGCATATCATGATGAGGAAGAGACTTGAGTAAAATCATTTTTTAAAGTACCTTGTTTTACAAACTTGGAGTTTACTTTATTTTACTATTCTGCCTTTCACTGACAATTTTTATGAGAAAATACAACATTTTATAGATCACTTTTAGTTGAAGCTTTTTGAAAATCCGTGAGTTTAGTGATGAAAGGGATCATGTCCACCACAGGAAAGTTGCTGCTTCTTAAAAATTCATCTTGCTTGCATGTTATTACCTTTAAACAAACAGAAAAAAACCAACTGGTGAGAAGTAGGACAGTCAGTTGCTCAGGTGTAAAATTAGGGAAGGTGGACATGTGCCCACTATGATCACTGCGTGTATGTGTGTGTGGTGGGTTTTTAACCTTGAAAATATTGAAAACGTCCTCACTGGTATCTGAAGTAAAGTACTAGTTGATTGTAGCTGACGTCTAGAACCCGTCTTACGTGAGAATACAACGAGAATGTGATGATGACTCACATTATCGTGTGCTGGAGTAAAAAAAAAAAAATCTATGTATTGCATAAAATGGCAAACTACTCCTATTTTCTTCTTGTATATTGTTATACGCGGGTGATTATTATTTTCTGTTATATAATAAATAAAAGTAAAAATAAAACCAAGACGTTTTCGTAACGCATTGTTTGCATTTGTAATGAGTCAATTATTCTTTTTCAGACAAGAAACAAAACGAAACCGGAAGAAGTTCTACGACACCTGGACAGATTTATGTACGCGTGTAGTCGAGTAAAGAGGAAAGAAAAGAAAAAGCGCTCTTCCGGCTTCTTTTACCGGTACACGACCAGAGATAATAACGTCTTAAACTGTCTCATCTCAGTTGTCATAGACAACGGCGAAAGTTTCGGCATCACCTCTGTCCTTTCTTAACAGGGGACACTGCACACACCCTAGTATATAAACTTGATCCCGTCATCCACTTAATGCAGTTGTGTTCGACACTTTTGGAAAGACACAAGTAACGTTTTGAAAAAGTGAAAAAAATGTTTCCTGTTTCTGGACAAATAGTTTTCGTCGTGTTCTTCGCCGTCGGTGCACTTTCAGCAGACATCCACTCAGACAAGTAAGTGGATTACTAAAACGTTTATGTTTTGAAGCTATTTTAAACTTTTAAATTTTATAAAAGTTAATAGTTTAATGAGGGGTAACTGTTAAAGCAATTAGTTTATAGCTTAGACCAAACAATCATAGCACAAATTACCATTGCTTTTCGAGTTCAATTAGATTTTTTTTCTAATTTCACAAATACTATTTGTAAGTCAGATTTTCTGAAATTCATGCGGTGAATATAGAAAAAGCATAACGCTATAGTACTTCATGCTATGCTTATTTTTAGATAAATCATTATTTTTATTTAATAATTATAAATAGTGAAAATTTCTGTAATAAAAAAGCTGGAAAACTCTTCCTACTGTATTGGAATAAAGTGAACAGTTGGAAATTTCCGTTCAATTTATGTCAGTTTTCGTTTTTTCCCAGTGTTGGCTTTGGCTAACCCCATTCCGGTCCAAATAACATTTTTTTAATGACTTGATATATTATTTACATTATACTTGAAGTTATTTGTATTTGTTTATGTTTTCAGTGGAATCGGCCAGCCAGAAGAGAACATCAGCGAGACTGCTGCAAGCCACCAGCCAAGATTCGGTCTGCCCATCAGCTACGGAAATGATTTACAAGTATTATCCACTTTCAAAATATAGAAAATATGTCGAAATATTGTAAACAAAATTACATTTTTACTTATTTGGGGGCCGAGTGATAAGGAAGTCAGACTCGTATTTGCCACGCCGTGGATCCTGGGTACAAATTCCCGCATAACCCATGAGCCGATGGTTTTTTCATTGAAAATATGTGAAAAAAAGATTGTAAATTGGTTTTGGCACCTCGTATATGACACCCAATGGGTAGTTGGACGTCAGGTCCTCCTGTATGACAGGAATTATTTTACTTTTGAGACGGGGCGGCTGAGTGGTTAGCGTGACCACCTCGTATTTGCCACGCCATTGTTTCTGGGTTTGAATCCCCCACAGCCCATGGCTTTTTAATTGAAAATATATTAAAAAAGGATTGTAAATTGGTTCTGACACCTCGTCCATGACACCCAACGGGTTGGACGTTCAGCTCTCCTGTACGACAGGAATTACTTGAATTTCCTTACATTACTGAATGGTAAATTAGACGGTATTGGAGGAGTTCGCCCGTTGTGATTCCTCCAGGATGGTTGCTTTTTCAACACATCATTGCACACAACGCTCGAAACCTACTTTATACCATCTTTAAAAACAGAAATTACTTTGTTTTTGAGACTGCGGTGACAAGTGGCTGGGGTGTCCGACTCATATTTACCACGCTGTGCGACCCTGGGTTCGAATATCCGCAAAGCCCATGGCATTTTATTTGACAATACGTGAAAAAAATGTAAAGTGCTTCTGGCACCTCTTCCACGACACCCAACGGGTTATTGGACGTCAACTCCTGCTATATGGCAGAAATTACTTTACTTTAGATATTTCTGTGGACGAATGTTTAGGGCGTCAAACTCGCATTTGCCATGCTGGCGGTCCTGGGTTCGAATTCCGGCATAGCCCAGGCTTTTAATTTAAAATATTGTAAAGTAGGAAGAAACTATAGACGAAATTTAACCGTCTCATATGGAAATTTGGTTAATTTTCAGGGCTTTAACTCAGGAATGACTCAAACACCGGTCAAAATTGAACTTGGAGGAATATTTTTGGGTACGCTCATTGGATTAGGTGCCGTTTTAATCGTACCCAAGTTGGCCCACTTATTTTCTTCTCACAACTCTGGCCATGTTGGTTATTCTGGTAGCAGCTATTCTAGAGGTAATTTGCTTATTTTAAAAAGTCCAATACCCTTCCTTGATTCACATAGAATTCCTTCTCACCGATTCTGCTTCCAACCCCAACATTCCACGGTCTAGCAAGGTTTCAGGGTCATTGATAATATTTCCTCCGCTTTAGAGAAGCTTGGGTGCGTTCCTGTGGGCCAGAATTCTAAAGAGACTGGCACCCAGGCACCCTTCATAAATTTAAAAGCTTCCTACCCCCATATTACATTCTCCTGGAATTCTATTTAACTGACCGCTGCTACAGAGTGATGTGCAACAACGAACACTCAGATGTCAGGCCAAATACGAGCCGGTATTCCTCAAGGGATAGTTCTTGGCACCATACTTTAAAACATTTATACTGCTGATTTTCCTATACATTCCAACATATGCGGATGACACAGCATTTCTAACCAGAAGCGACATCTAAAATCCAATCACACCTTGAGCTTATTAAAGACTGGAGGATAGGACTGACTGACTGAGGTACATTTACACTAAAAAAAACTTGCCTACTACTGTACATCAACAAGCGACTTCCAGTCGAGTCAGATACTTAGGCCTATGCTAGAAGACAACTACAAAGGTTTTCAGGAATAAAATCTATTTTGACCTCTGCCCCAGAGAGTAGAGAAGCAACCAGTACTCAGATTTCAAACGAATACAAGCTACAGTCTCACAAGGGTGCATTCTTGGTCCCATCCTGGATGTCTGCTTACGTTCTTATACATCTTAATACTGTTGACACCTCAATACTGTTTTCTTACCCAAACCTTAAATATCCAAGTACACCTTGAGTTTAACCAAAGAATAGGTAAGGTGCAAACAGTGGAGGCAAGACCATGAAGAAAAGACTACCCAGCTTACATTTACACTGAAAAAACTGGTCCCCCACAACAACAAGGAACTCCATTCCAGTCGATGCTTAGGGCTATAGATAGATTGACGTGGAATTCCCAAACAAGACTTAAACGTCAACAACTTAAAAGAAGACTTGGACAACTACGAAGACTATTAGGACCGAAATTTACAGAAATCATTATTGCGACTACTTTGGCCAAGCCAACTGTAATATCCAGTGAATTCACTCCTTCCAATTAAAAGGCCTCATGCAAATTGTCAAAGCTCCTATCAACCTCCAAATGCACTATCCACAACAATATTTTGGTCAACGAAATAATCCGATCCCTCTCTTCCACACCAAGGATTCGATCCATCCTAACCCTCCTGCACAATCTGTTCACACTTCCCCATCTCGAGTCCATCTGGATGACCTCGAGACCTCTTCTCCTTACACCCTTATATTGAGTGTTTTGATATATATTTGTTTTTTAGCTGATAATGACAACGTTATGGTCGGGATCAAACGTTTCATTTCTCGGATTGATGAAACACTTCAAGCCAATAAGATCGACTCGACAGCCTGTTTGGAACGAGCAGTCTGCACCTCCACCCAATTCTTAAGCCAGAAAACCGCCGATGACCTTATCGTATCAGCAGCCAAGTATTTATCCACGATTAATTTCTGATGTATAAAGGTTTTATTGTGATTCGTTACATTTCACAGCTCTTCCGTTGTCAACTTCATCATCGATGGCTCTAAACTGAAGACAGCTCTGGAAAAAGGGCTGAATCGGGAAAACTGTACAAACGCATATCCTCAGTGCGCGTTTAACAAGAATTCATTGATGATGGGCTTGAAGACCATGATGTCGAGCAATACAATTTAGTCCTGGGATGTGTTCCGAGACGAAATCATCAGTAGAGTAGTGGATTAATGATCTATTAATATCGTTAGTCACAGTAAACTTGATTGTAAATAAAATTGTTAAAGTTACTTGTTTGTCTATATTACTAATAAACAAATGCGTTATTGAATTGGATTCACTTGTCAATATGACATATAGTTCCAAACTTTTCTCGTCCCTTTGCAATTTCCAATTGTTTCCAACCCGATTGCTATGCTTACAAACGTTTTTAATCCGTAGGCGTCCCACTCTTTTTTAGTCATTCTACCGGTTCTGGGTTCGAATCCCGGCATAACCCATAGAATTTTAATTGAAATTAATGTGATAAAAGTCTGGTAAAGTGGTTTGACACCTAGTCCGAGAAACCCAACGGATGGTTGGAGGTTAAGATCTCTTATTTTTTTCGAGTTTCGATTTTTTTTGCACAGGGGACCTAAAAATCTTGAAAATTGAGAGAAAACTCTACACATCGTTTTTCGTCCGAATTGATGCTTTCTCCTCCTTCAAAGGGAAAAACTGAAAAAAAAATCACTTAATTTAAATGTTTGAATAGTTTAATTTCAAAAAGGCATATATTTTTATAAGTTTCCAAAATGTTTTTCCGTCATAGTTGCAATGTAAATGTTTTTAGTCGCTAACATTAACGAATATAAAAAATTTATCGCCAACTTAGAGATTATTGCATCAAGAGATCGAATAAAAAGATTAGAGGCAGAAATCAGAAAAACACCAGAAGGACGAAAAAATCTTGGTCTGCAATGCAATTTTTTAGCACAAAACCTAAATGAACAAAAAAAGTGAGAGGTAGATTTCTTTCTTTTGCGGAATCAATCCACCGGTGCTAAAAATGTGTTACTTTAAAAATTATAGAATAATTTAAAATCAATGGGTGTATATTATTATTTATTTTATACAAAACGTAACATCATAAACATATGGCAATAGGATAAAAAAATTAGTCAAATGTTTTTGTTTGTTATTAACAGCTGGCGTTAAATTAAATTAGATTCTCAACATTTTTTCCTAGACCATTGAAAATAATGAAAATAAAATAATAGTTTACTTTAACTATCTAATTTGAAATTTTATTTAAGCTATTTAATTAATTATTTTCCCGTGTAACTTCACTATTATTTTTTGGTAACAATGTGAGTTTAACGGAAAAAGACGTGCGATGACCACACCATATTTTTAATAATATACACAATTTTAAGGACTTTTGCTTTTTACCCTGAGTTCTCTATTAATTTCAAAGAAATCTTGGCATATTTAATAACAAAAAATTAAGAAACACCTACGGTTTCATTTTATTATAAAAAAGAAATTAATTTGATCTTTTAAACTAAAGAAATTAGGTCTAAATGTACCGTATTTGAGAAAAAATTCTGATTAAAAATGGGATTTTTTCGAATTATGATAAAATTTAAAATACTGCATGGATTTAAGCCAAACCGGGCTTAAAAGTTACAGGAAGAATCCAGCTTAAAATCGGTATCAAAAATGTGAAAATGCAATAGTGAGGGGCGGAGCTAAGAAGGGGTGAAGTTAAACAAACCGAGCTGGTTGTTGTGCGGGAAAAAACGCAAAAATCGCAAAAAATTTTATTCAATTTTTTATTTTAATCGTCTAAAACTCTGCTACTCCCAGTCGATTGAAAAACTATCTCAACCGTCCTTATAGGATTCTTTACCACCCGCCAAATTTCATTGCAATGCGATCAAAAATGCGACCTCTAGAGAGCGCTAGATTTTTGAAAGAAATAGACTGCCTATCTTTATAAGCAGGGTCAGGAGAGAAAGCAAACCAGTGGGGCCAGGATGATCAAAAATGATGCTGTGTTGGTAATTTCAAATATTTCAAATCATTCTTCTCGGCTGTCTATCTTTGCTGTTCTTTCAGAAGTATTTCAGTATATACCATCTTCAGTTAGGTTTATAAGCAGGGTGAGGAGAGAAATCAAACCAGTGGGACCAGGATGATCAGAAATGATGCTGTGTTGGTAATTTCAAATATTTCAAATCATTCTTCTCGACTGCCTATTTTTGCTGTTTCAATCTTTCAGAAGCATTTCGGTATATACCATCTTCAGTTAGGGTTATAAGCAGGGCGAGGAGAGAAACCAAACCAGTGGGACCAGTATGATCAGAAATGATGCTGTGTTTGGTAATTTCAAATCATTCTTCTCAACTGCCTATCTTTGCCATTTCAATCTGTCAGAAACGTTACGATACATATCATCCTCAGTTAGCGTTATAAGTTGGGTGAATAGAGAAAACAAACCCACAACTGAAGATTGCGTCTGAACGACCAAACAACGGAGGATAGTGGGACCAGGATGATCCGTAATGATTTTATTGCTTGTTAATTTCGGAACATTCTTATGGTCTTCTTATCTTTCATTGTCAATCTGTCAAAAGTTTTTGCTATATACCATCTTCAGTTAGGGTTATAAGTAGGGTGAGGAGAGAAAACAAACCAGTGGGACCAGGATGATCAGAAATGATGCTGTGTTGGTAATTTCGAATATTTCAAATCATTCTTCTCGACTGCCTATTTTTGCTGTTTCAATCTTTCAGAAGCATTTCGGTATATACCATCTTAAGTTAGGTTATAAGCAGGGTGAGGAGAGAAACCAAACCAGTGGGACCAGTATGATCAGAAATGATGCTGTGTTTAGTAATTCCTTATATTTCAAATCATTCTTCTCGACTACCTATCTTTGCTGTTTCAATCTTTCAGAAGGAGTTCGGTATATACTGAAGTTAGGGTTATAAGCAGGGTGAGGAGTGAAAACAAATTTAGAACCGTCTACGTATATTACTAGTATAGTATAGTACTAGTACTAGTATAGTATAGTACTAGTACTAGTATAGTATAGTACTAGTATAGTATAGTACTAGTACTAGTATAGTATAGTACTAGTATAATACTGTGAAGAAAAAATAAAGAAAAGGTTTTCTACTCAAGGTTAAAGAAAAGATCAAAGCTCATGGCACAAATGTCATTTTAATTAGTTTTATTTTGTTTTTCATTGTTACATCTTCAGTGGTCAGATCTGATGATGATTGAAGAATTTGGTGAACTGAACTCGTCCTGTGAGCGGTTTCATCAGCAAATTTATCAGCTGACGGGCCCGTATTAAACGGCGGTTCTTAGATGTGTTAAAATGCAGTAGAAGTTAACAGTGTTTTGTTTTTGTTTTTATTTGTTGTTACCGAAGCAAAATTTATACGCTTAAATATTCTAAAATAATTAGTTTTTTAATATGTTGACTAAGAGGGCGCGTTGATTAAACGAAACTGGTAAATCGATTGACGGTAAATTAGATTAGAGTCGTAACAAATATTGCAATTTTTTACGCTAACCCGTTCTATAGCATTTCGAAGCCTTAAATCTTAAAAGAACTTATTATATATTAACACACAGTGCTCAATGAAACATGTAAGTTGGGTTTGTTTACGATTAAAATGGACGCATCTGTTATGTGCATCTCAACCTTTTTTTTCTTATGCGCAGGCAAAGTGCTGATGCTCATGGTTCAAAGTGGCCAATTGTCTACTCAAAATGCTACAATGTGTCGTTTTTGGGCCTGGAAAAGCTGCACCCCTTCGACGCGAGGAAGTGGGGAAATATCTTCAAAGTAAGACCATCCCGATGATGACTTTTCTTTTCATCGCCACATATGCTCAGTTTCATTCCCTGAATCCTATCATCTTCTCATTCAATGAATTAGGTTTAAGTTAAAAGGAGTTGGAGTCATCTTTACAATCTAGTGACCAATATACACTCAAAGGAAAAAATACCCGGGCACTGCGTTTATTTTTTTCCATAATAACTAGGCATAAAGAATAATTAATAGTTTACTTAAAACGTAAACACAACATTAAAAACTCGTTTACCTTTATAGAGTGTTACTAATCTTTTTACATTCTTTCACCATCAGTCTATAGCGGTTTAGAGCCACGGGATGTCTCAGAGGTGATTGAGATTATGGCTAGAGACTTTATTGCTCTTACCATCATTTAATGGCTTTCTTGGTAGGTAGTGAATGTAAGGGTGAGCTCTAAAACAGTCATCAGAAGGCTTCTTGAGAATAGCGTAGTCTCTAGAGGTCGTCCTACATCATGTTTCCTCTACTACTTGGGAGACATCAAGTTGAAAGACTATTCGCAAATCAGGATCTCACTGGGACACTTGAATAATGGGAGGGGGCCTGTTTTCTTCACTGACGGTTTGGTTTGTGGCAATCACTGTGTGTGAAGACATGGAGAACGATTTACTTCATGACTGTGAGTCACAGCCTTTTCAAAGACAGTTATGGTATGGGGTGTAATTAACATACAGAATGGATCATGCAACTAGCCCTGAAAATGGATGGTGCTGTAGTGTTGAGAAGCAAAGCAGGTGGCTCTCACGAGCGGTGCTGTTAATACCTGACAAGGGTTGTGGTGATGTGCACAGAAGAGTCAGGGCATGAGCCTGCCTGGCACTGTCATCGGTGCAGAGCTTGGTGGTAGTAGCAAATCTAGTTGCAAACACTCTACTAAGATATATTGAGTAAGTTCTTCTGGAAGCAACCGGATTAAGGACAACATAGCATTAATGCATACATAATAGGTTAATGCATGCTGCTCGACCACATGTAGATCAAGTTGTCACCCGTTACTTGGAGGATGTAGAGATTACGACTTGCTTGTACTATCAGACACCCACAATATGCCTTGTTCTTCTTACTATGTTTCTAGTCATTAATTATAATGAAACCAAGGTCATGGTTTTTCAAAGGGGTGGGGTGTTATCTGCTCCCGAACGTTGGTATTTCAATGGTGTTTCAATGCAGAATTGAAGAAGTCGCAGTCAGTGACATTCTGGCCAATCTGGAGATCTTCCACCGCCTTGAGTAAACCATTCATGCTCAGCCCTCGTCCATCCCCGGAAAACTTCAACTTCCATTCGCTTACCAGTATTTGCTTCTTCCTGTTCACTGTTGTTTTCTACGGCCTCTGTTTCCCCATCTTGCTTCTCCATTAGGGTCAATCGTTGCAACTCTTCCGTGAAAGAGTGCTGTCTGCTACCTGCTTCCTTGCTTCTTTAAGCTGATCCCTTCCACACCATGATCCATTCACACATGGACAGGCATTCTCCCATCGATCGTTATTTCTGCGGAGAGAATAGAAATTGTTAACTATTATAAATATTTAGCAGTTCTGTTAACACCAAAACTTATGTTCTCTCACATCTAAAGTCAAAGGTGTCTACTGTGAAAATTTGCCTCCACTGAATCTGGAAGAATTTTGTCAGATATAATTCCATCACTTTCCCACCTAAATTGTCCCTCTTTAATATTGTTTGCCGATCACTTTTTTCCTGCACATGCGAAGTATGGGGAAGAGGCAGAAAAATTTAACCATTTTTTTGTGTGAAAAAGTGTGTTGGCCTTCTAGTCTCAATCCCAAACCACATGCTATATCTTGGGACATCAGCAGAATTAATATTTGGTTTTACTTCGAAACTCCATTTTTCATTCATACTTAAAGTACTTGGCCTTCCAGACTTTTGTCTGTCAAAATTACCGCATTAGAGATTATACACAAGCAATTGTTTTGGGTAGCTCAATTGAATAAATTAGTGAGCAAACTAAATTGTAAGTTTTCCTTAATGCGGGACAATGTTGACAGCTTGCCAGAATGGTTCACTATAATATTAGAAAGAAATAAGGTAAGAGAAGCCTGTTTACACAAGCAAGATTATTGGACTGCTTTTTGTTATACAAAGGTTTGAACCCTTACCCAACCTAGTCATTGCTCAAAGAAGTAACCACACCCTTAGATTTTTGACCTTTGCTGGTTGCTAAAACTAAGGTCAACTAGTATAAATATTTATACAAGTGTATTTAGATTGTGTTACATGGAGGGAGGTAGGAAGACAACAACGTTCTTTATACTACTAAAAAAAAGAGGTCATTTTTCATTTTGTTTCTGAGTGCACTGTGCTGGATGAGTTTCGTCTTTTGTATTTGGGGCAGCGAATGTTGACTAGAACTTGGCTCCTTTGCCTACTGAACTCGATAAATGGTCAAAGTTAGGCACTTACTCAGTAAGCACATGAAATATGGTTTTACAGATATGAATTAGTACATTTCAACTTTTAAAATTGATATCTTACAGTTAATTAAGGTTTTCAGTTGAGATAAAAAAGTCAATGGCACGAGCGGGATTTGAACCCACGATCTTCAGCTTGATACGCCGCTGCTCTACCACTTGAGCTAACGTGACCTTGATCCACTCGGACACCAACTTCCCATCTCAACCACACCTTTTGAATTTTCCCTCCTTTTTGCCATTTTTCAAATGTTGTGTAATCAATTTGTTCTCGGCGACAAATGAAATGGCCACGGAGAGCTTTAGTGAAGTATACTTCATTTTAAACTTATTAAATTCACTAGTTTTGTGGTCCGCGTGACCAATTAATATCTTACAATTAATTAAGGTTTTCAGTTGAGATAAAAAGGTGTGGTTGAGATGGGAAGTTGGTGTCCGAGTGGATCGAGGTCACGATAGCTCAAGTGGTAGAGCAGCAGCGTGTCAAGCCGAAGATCGTGGGTTCGAATCTCGCTCATGCCATTGACTTTTTTATCTCAACTGAAAACCTTAATTAATTGTAAGATATTAATTGGTCAAGCGGACCACGAAACTAGTGAATTTTAAAATTGAGTTTCTCGCTTAGAAGGAAGAGATGTATAAGTTTATTTTTTTAATATATATTTTTTTATTACTATATAATATCTTAGTTCATCATTGTATATATGGTATTTTCATTGTTTTCCTTACAACAACATGCCATAATTTTTTTTCCTTGGTTTTTGTTGTTTATATGACAACTTTTTGGTTGACTTCCGGCAGATGGTCTTTCCCATGCCTTTATAGCATGCTAATAAATCTATACTTAGTGTAAAATATTGTCAAAAGTTGAAATAATAAATAAAGCATTATTACTATTAGTAATTAACTATTTACTATTTAAGTGTAAATTTCGATATTAAATTGTTAATTGTAGTATTGTCACCTTTGTTGATACCGTATTATTTTTCATGCGAGTTCAGTTTCTCAAAGAACTTCTGAACATTAACGAAGGCAAAATTTTTGCTCCCCATGAAGCCACTCGTGAGGACTTGCTTTTCGTACACACGAAAAGATACTTAAATAGTCTCAAGGTATGCATATTTTAAATGGAACTTTCATTTCTTACATATCCTAGCGATTTTTATTCATAACTTTTAACCATGAAAAGTTTTATTGCAAAAAAAAAATGCTTTGGAAGTTTTTAACCTGTGTGAATCTTGGTGATTATTTGGAATGCAAATTTATTTTGATATAACACATATTTTATAAAAAAATCTCTGTGTGGTTTTGTTGAATATACAAGAATACTCAAATATGCTTGGCCCCTCCCCAACTAATAGCATGTGTATTTGTTTATTGCCAGGTGGGAGATTGTTAAAAGTATTTGTATTAGAATTTAATATTTATATAATATAATTATGTTTCACTTGTTTGTTACCAATGCTTACAGATAGATGATTATTTCTGATCTTATAGTTTTAACATGATTACTGATTACAGAATATATTCTAAAATAACTTCAACCATTAATTTAAATAAAATAAAATAAAAACGTATAATTCTTTTTTTTTCCCAAAAGGTATGACATGTTATCAAATAATATACACTCCCCGTCAAAAATATCACCTATCAGTCTTGATTGTTGATTTTTTTATCACTTTAACTCGCATTTTATTTCTATGTGTAGTAATATGATTTGTTGAGGATTAATTTTATCATTATTAATCACTTGAGGATTAATTTTATCATATTAATCACTGGTTATCAACAAACAAAGTTTTTCTTGGTTTCAATGTTCCTTTTAGTTGGTTCATTTTGTTAGCTTTGGGTAGCAATTTCTCATTATTTATTTATTTTTTTAAATGTATTTTGTTTATGATGTCATAATGAGCCATTTACGCTTCAATGAATCAGTCAAAATTATCCCCTCTCCTTGATGAAGGGAAATCATTGAGCTACATTGTTAATCGCTTTGGCATTCATTCGTCAATTTTTCTTCCTACCTTAGGCTTTTATATTAGTTGACTTATCAAGTGTAGATTAGATTAGATTAGAAAAGGAATCAATCTACGACAGGTGGGATACATTCTTATTGATAAACTTATTTTTAACCCATTGCCGTTTTTGGCAGTTTGGTATGCCACAAAAGGGTTCAAGGACAATAGGTGTCCTCATCGAACTATCCTTGGTCAATTTATCAGCCTTTCCATTGCCTCTCTGCCATGTATACCCTAGTACCCAGACAATGGTAATCTTGTTGTTTTTCTCAATCTCTGACAGTGACCTAATGCAATCCCAAACGACTCTGGACATTACCACTGATGCGGTAATTTCACTCAGTGTGTAACTAAACTATCTTTATTCAATTAAGATGCTCAGGGGGTGGGGACAAACCCGATGAATATGTTTGAATTTTCCATTTGTTTGCAGTAAAAGAGCCTATGTTTGATGCCGTCGATCCTACAGGTTGTATAAAATGTTTGCCCCTTTTTAACAGTGGAGGTATTTCTTGTTATATAATTTTGTGTCAGAAAATTTGAATAATCCAAATTTTGGTTTCTACCCATGAAGCGCTTCTTCCAGCTTTGTGCAGGAACTCACGTGTCAGCCTTCCTTTTCTGCTGTAACTCATCTTATCTGCTCCAAATCCAACTTTTAAGGAAGCCTTGGATTTGCTTCTTTTTTGTCATATGCTTCCAGGATTAGCACATTTGGCTCCTTTCCTTTCTTTAACTCGTGGACTGCTGTCTTGCTTTGGAGGACATGGTCGATGGGATCTACCAAGCTAGAATTTGCAAGGTGTGGGTAGAAGCTGTCCTATATGCGTCTTTAAAAGTGTGATTATCTTACTTTGCTTGAGTATGCTTCACCCCTTGCTTTGAGTTTTTGAGGTGATCCTACAAGATTGTGTAGTGCCTTTTATACCTTTCTTAGCCTATCAATCTTGGAGTCGACTGTTTTGATCGAGTCAAACCTTAGATTTTAGAAGGCCTGTAAAAAGCCTTCTCACAGAAATGAAGAGATTTCATCCTGTAGTCTGCTGGTTCATGTACCAGCAATTTGATCCATTGGTCTGCCTACTGGATTGGCCTGTCAGACTAATTCAATCATGATTAAGAATTTTGATTGAAGTTTAATCATTATTGAATTAATCATGAGTAAATTAATCATTATAAGATTTAGTCATGATTAATCCAGTCATGAGGTATGACTAAATTATACAATGATTAATTTACTCATGACTAATTCAATCATGATTAAACTTCAATCAAAATTCTTAATCATGATTGAAGTAGTTAGATTTTGCCCAACTCTGGCTACAATGACCAACTTACCAAAATCCAACAGACTCCGGATAAAAATTTTGAGATGAGAGTCGTGCTCAAGGCCAACCTTCAAATAATGCAGAAATCTCTCCTTTTAAGTGGAATAAATTTTAATTCAAAGAAATATTTTTTCCATTGATCGGTTATGTAAACATATTTACTTTTGAAAGCGTAGCTTGTTCTAGGATTTTTTTTATTTTATTTTATTATTATTATCATTATTTTTTGGCTTTTCTTAGTGACGTAGTTTTACTTATAATTGGAAGATTGATTTTTGTTAAATAAGGTGTTGAAGGATTTTCGTTTTGATGAAATAAACTTCTGTTAGAAATTTTTTTTAAAGTGATGAAGTTGTGTATTTTTCATTTTTTGAGCACCCATTTGAACATGATTTATCAAAATTTAGTGATGACTAACTATATTGTGACTAAATTAGTCATGCCTCGTATTTAATTACTAGTCATGACTAATTTAGCCATCAATCACATATGGCGACTAAATTAGTCATGCCTCGTATTTAATTACTAGTCATGACTAATTTAGCCATCAATCACATATGTTCACTAATGACTAAATTAGTCACTTACTACCAATCATGACTAACGGTCTGAGTGATCAATCATTAATCATTAGACGTGACTAATTTTTGCCCAACACTGCTGTCAGACATGTTTTGGCATTTCGCCATCTTCATCAACACACAATAATTAACAAGGCAATATCAATCATGCACTACACAGGAATGGACAATCCAGATGGCCTTGAAAGAGTTTGGAGAAGATCTGGAGAATGAATGGTCAATGCTGTGGAGACAGTTTTGGAAGAGGGTATATCACGTTCTGGGGCAGGATTTCTTGAGAGGCAACGAGTTTGTGCCTCGGGTGGGATGATCCGACAAAATCATGCACTTTCCTTTCTTATTGCTGCGTGATAATACTCGACTACATAAAGCAACAAGTAATCTCAGGGTGTTACGATTTTTTTGACGGGGAGTATATTTGTTTTTAAAGATATATTTAGGCATCGTGGAATGAAAGCTAATTATATTTTGAAATTCATTATTGTACTTGTTAGTTTTTATGATTAGCTATAGTTTTTTTTCAGAAAAAAATTAGATAGATTTTTAACTGTAATTACTAAAACTAGTATGAAGTATAATTGTAATATTTGAAAACAAAATTTACAGTGGGGTTGGAATGTTGCTGCAATAGCTGAAATACCCTGTTTAGCATTGCTTCCAAACATTTTAACACAAAAGTGCTATCTGCGTCCTATGAGGTATTTATAATTTTGTACTAACAATTGCTGTCCCTTAATTTCCAAGTCATAAAAACATAATGAATAGATCTAACGCCATTTTTTTAATTATTTTTATTTATTTTTAATTTGTTTAAAGAAATAATTGGTAAACTGTTAAAGTAATGGTTATCTTTTAGTTAATCCTATAGGACTTTTGTGGCGCAAAAAAAAAAAAATAAAATAAAATAAAATTGACGTTTGACACACTCGACATTCAAAGATCGCTTTATTTCTTCTCTTTTTGCATTATGATTTATTGTTGTATGCATTTAATTATTTTTCTAACTATAAATACAACTTGCTCATTTACTTCTGTTGATAACGGTCAAGGACAGCCACATATTTTTGAATGATTAAAATTTTTCGCATGAGCATGCTTTGTTTCTTATTAAAGGGAAAACTCTTTGGACTATTTCTTACTAAACTTTTTGAAAATTTTAGAATCAAAATGTGTTAAAATAAATCTGTTGTTTTTACTAACTTACTTCTTTCATTTGTCGTTTAGTTTACTTACCTAATCCAAAATCATTATATTTAAAAATATTTTCCCCCTCACTAATGCTGTACTTTGGTTGGTTTATGATATTCACAATGAAATCGAGTAAAATTAGAATTGTGGTCTCACCTATTATTTTTTTGTATTTTAGGTATCAAACAAATGGAAGCGTTTTAGCAGGGCAATTAGCTCTGTCACATGGCTGGGCTGTAAACATAGGAGGTGGTTTTCATCACTGTAGCAAAGATAGAGGTGGCGGCTTTTGCCCATATGCCGACATTACCTTGTTAATTGAAAACGTATTCAAAAATAACAGTAATCGTGCCAAAAAAGCTATGATCATTGATCTAGACGCTCATCAGGTATAATAATTTTGTTACCTTAAATTTAGTTGTTTCTCATCATTTTGGCCTGCCAGATGCATTTATATCAGTTGTGTGCTTATTGTCACAAGGTCTGCAGGCTCACCATTGAAGATGGCAAACTGAAAAACATTTGACAGACCGGAATAATTGGAAACAACCAAACTATAGATTGTAATAATTTTTTTTTTTTTTTAATCAGGCCTCAAATCTCACAATTTAACTAAATTCATTTTCACAATACTTACATGACAATACCGACTGACAGTATTGTTTGTAGATGTTCAGTATTTGCTAACATTGTGATTTGTTAAAAATAGTTTCAAAAGCCTGATGAAAATGTTCCTCTTGAGTGTTTTTTTTTTCTCAAATAGGTCTTATAACTTCTTACTGTCAAATCGACCATTTTTAACTTTAAATTAACATTTTTTAAATGTAACTTAATTATTTTAACTTAAAATTAACCTTTTTTAATTTCAAATTATCCCTTTCTTTAAAGCATTTAAAAAAAACTTAGGAAATGGTTGGAATATAAGCATATAAAGTAAAATTCTTGTGTATTGGAGAATTTTGAAAAGTATAAAATAATTGTGCTCGTAGAAGACCATATGAAAGTTAATTACAATTAAAATTAAAAATGTCATAAAATTAAATATAAAAACAAATCAATGGTTGTTTTATTAATTCGAGATTTTTTACAAATATAAGATAATATTGGTCTATAGGGGTGCTTGTTGGTTGCCATTCACCGGGGCATTTTTTTTTTTGGGGGGGGGTTCTTCTACGCACTTCTACACACTGTCCAGGTCTTTCAGCGGTGGGGCAGGACTACCACCGTGTTTAGTTTATATTTAAAACATATTCGGAGATATGTATACAGGCAGTTTTACCTTAAACGCTTATATTTCATATGTTCTATGCTTTTTATTACTTGAAAGAAAGGGTTAATTTGAAGGAAAGAAGGATTAATTTGTCTGAAAAAAGCTATATCGATCATATTTTAATACAAAATTTGTGTTGTCATTTTATTAAATTTGAATTTGATACTGTTTCAGGGAAATGGATACGCTAGAGATTTTACGGGAAATTCAAATGTTTTTATAATGGATGTTTATAATTCCGGTATTTACCCAAACGATGAAGAAGCAAAACGAGCAATAACGTGCAAAGTGGAGTTACATTTTTACACAGCCGATAGAGAATATTTAGATTTAGTTGAAAGGTTAGTAATATATTTGTTAAAATTTATTATAAATAAGTCAGTATTGATTGTTCGATGCTTTTTTTGTTTCAGTAACCTTGATAGCTCGTTAAAACGCTTTCATCCTGATATTATTGTTTACAATGCTGGAACGGATATTCTTAAAGGAGATCCATTAGGAAGACTGTCAATAACGCCAGCTGTAAGATAAACTCAGGGTGGTTACCAGTTGTAAAGTGTACAAAAATAATTAATCGCTATATATCTATCTGATAAATTCGATGTCTTTAAACATACTGGTAGCTTCTCTGGATTTTACAATTCTATTATTATTTTTAATGTGTTGTTTATTGTTTTCAATTTGATTTTAGGGCATAATTAAACGTGATGAACTAGTTTTTTCCAAAGCAATAAATAAAGGAGTGCCAATTGTTATGCTTACAAGTGGAGGATACTGTAGAGAGACTGCCAAAATTATAGCTGATTCTATAAAAAATTTACACCAACTTGGACTAATAAATGTGATTGATTGAAACAACACTTTTGACGTTTTTTATTTACTAGTACATTCTTTAGTAAACACTTTCCATTTTTCATCCCTTTACAATTTTTTCCCAAGGTCACTGGTGGGTGACTGGTCTCCCTTTCTTCCACCTGGAATTGACCCTTCTTTATTTTCATACCCTGGCAAGTTGATCCAAAGTTTTTGCTAATTTGTCAGCCTGTTACTTGCCTTCAGCCACATCAGACCTACCTGATTCCCCTGAAGTTGAGATTAGGCATTCCCAGACCAGCATTGAGTCAAAGTGGAGTCTTTAGACGTGCTGCTTGCCTGTCTGAGAATATATCTGTGCATATTTCAATCCATTTTTATATATTTTTTTGTCCAGAATTTGTCTTGCACGGATATTTGGAAAATTGATGGTGTGGGGCCTAGAGATTTCGCTAGGTCAAAATTTGGTCTTTTGTCTCCTGCCCAAGTCCCAAGTCCAATGCCCATTTTAGATCCATCTTCATTCCTCTTTTAGTTTCGGGTTTTTATTCTTCCAAAACAATTGTCATTTCACTAAATTTCATTTAGTCAGACATTTTTGTAGCCATCTTATTTAGTTTGATCGTTTTTAGGATTTTGCTTTTTCTTGCTTCAGGTTTTCTTCCATTTTGTCCTGGGGGTACTTTTGTGTACCCTCTGGATGTATGCAACAGTGGCAATCAGCATGCCAATTGCTAATCAAAATTCCAATCTGTGATTTTTTAAATTGATTTTGTGTCATCTTTTCAAATGTTTTAGGCTACCATACTGGGACTCCATATGTGACCTGAAGTCATAAGACAGTAGGCTTTATTCAGATTCAAACCCCATGGTTAACTGAAATCATCTTTGGTCCACAGTTATGTTTTTGGTACTGCTTTGCCCATATGCTTCTCCCAGTTGAGCTTTTGATCTAGTGCTGTTCCCAGATACTTTGTTTCCCCGGAGAAAATTATATTTTAATTTTTTAAAGGCAGTACTTTTGCGTTTATCTTTCTTCTCTTTGTGAATGGCAGTGTGGCTTTGCTCAAGTTCTCAGCCAATTTATCATACCAACTTTATTTTTTTTGCTACTTTGTGATCAGCATAACCTATGGTATAACCTTCTAAGCTCTACAATCAACCAAAAACAACAAGGATGATGGTACACACCCTTGAGAGCATCCTTGATGATAATTGATTGATAACAACCAAAAGAAATTTGTTTTGGTTTCAAAAAGAGCAGTACATCAGACGAAATACAGTATAATAAAACTAATAGACACACACACACATTGCTAAATAAATTTATTTTGCATTGTTATTATTATTTTTAATTAATGATATCATTATTATTTTAATGATTTGAACACACAACTGTTGGTATTCTGCAAGTAAATGAATTTTTGTGAAAGCTGAGTTTTAGATGAGTGACCCCAAAAAATATGCTGTTAACTACAATTTCAAACCAATTATCTTGAAGATTTGTTGAACTGTTCGAAAAATTCTGAAGTAGCTTCATTTGAAAAGACAATTTTATCCAAGTATTTTTTCTGTAGTTTCTGTTCTTCTTCGAGCCGTTTGTTTTGAAAAGTTAAGTTCCTGTGTAATGTTCTGAAAAATTAAGAATCCGTAAGTAGAACAAAACTCATAGAAAATTTATGTTTATATTTACTTCATTGCATTGTTAGTCTCTTGATCTATCCGTCCGACAATTTTATTCGTTTGATCGTTGTACCTTTGCCAGTACTGTTCTTCCAAAGCTTCTCGTTCTTTCCTGGCCTAAATAAATATAAAATCATTTAGTTGTATATAATGACATATTTTAAGTTATTTATTTTACCTTAGCTTCAGCGATTTGCTGCAATTGTATGTGTTTAATTTCTGCAATCTGCTTTTGTGACATTCCTTTAAACATCATCGTATTGTATCGGTTTGGGCCCAAAGCGCTTCGTGCCAATTCTGCGTTTTCAGTGAGTAAATCACTGCTTACCGCGTTGAAAATATCAATTTCGTTGTCTTGAAGTGTTTTTGTCATTTCGTCGTATCTTTCTGCCAATTTTCTTGTAGCCTTAATAAATAAAATCAAATTTTTAATCTTACATTTTAAAATATATGTTATAAAAGTTTCTTTTTAATTTTAAAGGTTACCAGTGCTTTATTGTATTCGGCAGTTGCTTGATCTAGTTTCCTTTTACAACATTGTTCCATTTCTTGTAGTGCTACGGCTACATTGTCTCGGTCCTTCATGTGCTGTTCAAATGCCAATTGTGCTTTTTTCAATTCACTTTTCTCCAACTCATGTTCAACCATTTGCTGTATTAGCCAGTTCCTCTGCTGAAGTTTCTGGTAAGCTCTTCTTTGATTTAGAAAATCGTCTTCACCTTCAAATCTAGCTTGAAATAAGTCAATAGAATTGTTAACGAATATAGAAATAGAATCTAGATCAAGCTTTTTTGCCAGATTTTCAAGTGTATCATGCTATGCTAAGAAGAAAAAATATTCGTCATATTCACAGTCGTACGAGAAAGTTAAAAAATTTTGCAATGCCCACACATTCAAAAACTTTCCAGACTAAACTATCGTGGTAATCTCCCACCCCACTCTGCTGAAGAGGAAAACATTCTAAAATTATCCAAAACAGATGAAGCATCTTGAATTTAAGATACTGGAGCGCCTAGGCCAGAAGAATGTTCTTTATCAGAAATATACCTAGGACAACATGGGCATATTCAATGATGACCTCATTTGAATGATATGCAATGAGGAGGAAGAAACTGCTTGTATTATCTTCGAATGGGAAACAACAGCACAATGAAAACCATCATCCAGGGTATCAAGAAGACTGTGGGAAAAGAATTGCAGCATTGTCAATCAATGACCTTGTTTTTAAGGAAGGATCGAGCAAGAAAACTGAACTGAGAAACTGGGAAAAACGCATTAAGCCAAAAGGCTGCAATGCTTGGATAATACCAAACTCCGCTTCCTATTATCCTCATTATTATAAGGTTAGTGAGAGGGCTCTATACCGGTGTCATCATAGAGTATACCAGTGTTGTGTGGCATCATCCTCATTTGTAGGTTATACAATGAAAAGGAAGAAACTGCCCATATTATCTTCGAATATGAAGCAACTACTAAATGAAGATATAACCCATGGTACAAAAAAGACCCAGATAAAACTGCAATGACAGTCCTTTTTAAAAGAAGGATGGAGTCAGTTGAACTGAACTGAAGATAAGGGAAATTATAATAAAGTCTGCAGGGCTCGAGTAATATAAAACTCCTCTTCCTATTATCTTCATCATTATAAGGCTAGTAATAGAGCTCTCTACCAGGCTTCTAAGAAACCAGTCACACAACATGGGTATACTCAATGATGACCTCATTTGCAGGTTATACATTGAGAAAAAAGAAACTGCTCATATCATCTTCGAATATGAAGTAACCATTAAATGTAATCGTAACCTATGGTACAAAAAAGACTCAGGTAAAAAAATTGCAGCAATGACAATGATCTTCTTTCTAAAAGAAGGATAAAGTCAATGGAACTGAACTAATGAAGTAGGAAAAGGATAATAAGGCAAAAGGCTGCAGTTCTACAGTAGTAATACTATACTTAGTATATTCATCAGCATATCCATTGCAACATTAAGATAGTTTAGAGTGTTCTTTCATAATTGTACCTAAAGAAAAAAGGTTTTAGAGTGACGATAGAAAATCCTTTGATCTTTGGATCATTTGCCTATCAATATCCCTATGAGACAAGACCCCCTAAGAGCCAGAACAGATTAGTCAAAACTCAAATGGAGTTTGTAGTATAAAGGACCTAATGGACTAGCAATCACCAACCCATTTTACTATCAGATCTTTTTAATTTTATTTATTATTATTATTTATTGATCTATAATAAGTGATGTGTTAATGACCCATCGATGACCAACATTAGCAGTTTCTTCGACTGTATGACATGAACACAAAGGATGGCTTTATGGTTCAACCTTCAAGGGAGTGTGTAGGATAGAGTGGAATGGCCACAGATGAGGGTATTGAAATAAAGAGATAATTTAGAGTGGAATTTGAGACATCAGGATTTAGCCAGGTCAGTAGCATGAGTGCATTCGGAGGTCTGAATGGAGAGTTTTTAGTCTGAATAGTTCCAGTATGTAAGTGCATATAAGAACTAAAAACGCTTTCTAGTAGTTTTTTACTGTCTTGTACTTGCAGTTCACTTCTGCCATGCTAAGTAGCTGGTTGTGGATTCCATGTCTTGTCTATGCTCAGTCCCGAGTATATGATGCGATTGGCTGTATGAAGTGGAATTTGACTAAAATAAACTGAAGTATTTTGCATTTGGTGGTAAAGGGTTAGAATTTTTATTCACCATTTACGGAACATTGATTCTAAGGTAAGAAGGTATTGCTAGAATAAGATCTGCAGGAGCAGAGGTTTGCTATATCGCCATCAAAGTTAAGGGTGAGTGTGTTAGCGTGTTGAGGCCTAACCAACGGAAAGTAACGGACCTAGGACGGAGGATGACGTTTAGTAGAACATGGTAGGATTTAGGAAGAGTCATATACTAGAAAGGAAGGATTTGAATTTCAGAAGTTGGTGCTTGGGAGACGTGTAGACACGAGGGCAGACCTGCTTGAAATTGAATTTTGGAATGGCAATTACAGAACCACATCAGGAATAATGTCAGTTGTGGGAAGAGCTTTACAGGAAATACAAATACTTTCCTGAGGATACAATTTCAAAGTCATGCGAATAAAAGAGTTTTACAAAACTTACATTTGAACTCCCCATCGTTTATCATCGTTTCTCAAGTGCATACGTCCATCTGAAGTCTTATTCGGATTATCCAAGTCATACTCGCGTCTCAGTTCTTTTTTTTGGTGTATGTTTCTAAATGAGTTGATCTCCATCAGTTGTTTCCTTTTATCCTTGTGAATAAACAATATTATTTGTTGATTATGTTTTAGTGGCCTAAGTGACCAAATTACTTCTAATAACAGTTCAATCTCCCTAATAAACGATATTAAAGCCCTTAGAATGAAGCCCTGGTGAACAAGATTTAAAACAATTAAAAAACTCAATGAGTCGGTTTTAATAGAAATAATATTTCAATTAATTATTCTTTTTAGGTAAGGCCTAGGTTGAGATGAACAAGCAGAAGGTTGTGGGTTCGAATCCCGCTCGTGACGCTAGCTTTTTCATCTCAACCAAGACCTTACATAAAAATAATAATTAATTGAAATATTATTTCTATTCAAACCGACACATTGAGTTTTTTAATTGTTTTAAATCTTGTTCACCAGGGGTGAAGTTATGGTAAAAGTGTACTTACCATTTTTTCAATATATTCTCGATAGTTGGCTTCATCGATGTCACTTTTCATACGAAGCTCGTACATCTTCTTTTCAATTTCCTCCTTCCTCTTTCTTTCGTTTTTTTCCTGTATCTGCCTCTCTAGCACGTCCACGTCAACCTAATAGAATTTATACGTATTGTTCAATTTAATAATGAAAAAAATTAAATTTTTAGATTAGTTTGGTCGTTTCGGGTCATTTTGGTCTGCCTGTACTCGCTGTTTTTCCCCCTGTCAGACGCGTTTCGGCGTCTCGTCATCTTAAGTGTTGCGGTTTCACTTCAGAAGGTGAAAACAATCGGAAACAACAAAACATGTTCATCACTCCGCAAATATAAATAAACTATAAAAGAAACGTTTTAGAAAGTATATACAACACTAGTTTCGAAGGCTACGTTCATACATGACCTTCAATTTTTGTGGCCGATCAAATCAATGGTATTATGTAAGTTTTTATTTTAAAGCAAAATATAATTTAATTAAGGTGTAATAAATAAAAATGACAATTATTATGGCACAAATGCTGAAACGTCGACTTTCATAATGTTGTGACAGTGTTGAATAAGAGGCAGGACTATTAGGAATAGTTATTTTCATTAAACAAATAAGAAACATGAGAGAGATCATTAAAAACATTACATATAAAAGGACAACTTTAGAGACCAGGGTGATGGCCTCCCTGAGAAAGGACGGTATGGTTTTGAAGCTATTGTGCGCCGTGGCGGGTGTTGAGCCGGATGGATATGGCAGCTGATTTTGGTAGTGAGCGTAGTATCTCGCCCCTGCTTGTATACAATGGTGCTGTGAGTTCATTGACTGCTTGGAAGTCGGAAGCATTTATGAAGAAGTGGTGACACCTAGAGAAACTAGTAACCGCAGGCAGTGACTATATAGCTCCTTGTGTGGAGCCTGTCTGAACAGCAGGCCAATGTCACGTCGGAGTAACAGCTTTAATGACTGGAGTGATTGTTGGGGTAGTCTTGTGTGAGATGTAGGGAAAGTCAATTAGGTTATCAAGCAGTCTGAAAAGAAATATTAGGTCAGGTCTTGGGGATGGTTAGGGTAATGCAAATGTAAATGATGCAAATGAGGTTTAATGGGTCCTGATGTTTCCAACAATTGCCCGGGTGGTACTAAACTCATACGTCATCCTAATTCCTGCCACTCGTCCACGAAGACCTTGGCCGTGTACAGCCTGAGCAGTGTCATTCGACGTCGATTCACGATGGATTCATGGGGAAGGGTAGACTATGAGACCCTAACATAAAACACTCCAAGCTAAGGTGTAAGGCAGGAGGTATTGTGCGGTCGTTATCCCCTGGGGTAATTGGCCACCATCCAAGGCTCAGTCGAGCGAATCCTTAGAGTTTTAGTTTCTTGCGGGTACGAAAGTGTAAACGCGAAGATGGAAAAACATAAAACCAACAAATCTTGTGCAGTCAGTAGTACCCCGTGTGAAGGCAAAAGTGCTTCATTCACTAGATTTATTAAGGCTGACTCTTTTCAGGACCTTACACCATAAGAGGTGCATATCGCCCTGTCGAGAAACTTGGAGAAAGTTGCAACCCAAACGAGGAGTATTGGGAAAACTTCTGATTCAATCCCAGTCTACCGAAAGTCAGCGCAGCACGCCAAGCATCAAAAACCCTAGCTCTACGCAGAAGGAGGATTCTTTTAGAGAAATGGTGGCTGTGGTTCCTACCATCGTGAGGCTAAAATGGACCTTGATGGTTTGAACTCTTGACAGGATCCCGGACGATGGACCCAAGGTGCGGTTCGCAATGAATCTGGCAAAATCCTCTCCATAACAAAACTTTGGGATCTGGTAAAAAGCTTAACGAAAAACTGTAATCAATGATGGTGATTGCACAATAGACCAATATTATCCGAGGTGCGTAAAGGTCATAAAGAGTCTTTCTTCTTCTTTTAACCTTAAATTTTAAACAATAGGTCAGGTCTTATTGTTTATGGCTCACTCTCAATATTTTGACTCGGCAATGGACAGTCAACAGACCTGCAATAATCCCAATATTATTCTTGTTTTCTAACATCTGGTAAGTTGTACTTCCAGGCTTGAAGTTTTTCATGTGCCTATATCCTGGGGCGATGTTCAAACAGGTATGGATTTTTAACTTGAACCTTTAGGCGGTTTTTGTATGCCAGTCATAAATCCAAATTGTTCTGGTATTATTAGGCCGAATACTCCCAGGTTAATTTCTTCTGACGTGTCCCTGGGATCCAGACTAGTACGTAGGACGACAGACACGTTTGTCTGTAACCGTGGCTTCAATACTCTTAAGTATATTAGAAGAGATTATTAAGATTACTAAAGCCAACGAACATATTAAAACAATTTATGAAGTTCAATAATTACAGTTTGTTGTAAAAGTAGATGGGTCTTTCAACTCACGCCAATCAGCCTCTGCTTTGCGTTGAAAATCCTCCGCCTCCTCTCCTCTTCGATCCTCCTGTGTCTTTCTATTTTGGCAACTTCCTTTTCTTCCAATGGTAGCAAAATTGGCGACATTTTAGCATTCATTTTTCTAGTTTTGACAGACGGAAAGAGAAGACCACTGACCGCTCGGTGCCGGTAACCGTGGCGACGTGTAAACGTTTACACGCTTCGAGGGACGATTGATCCTGCCAGGAGGTAGCCGAGGTGAACAAGAAAGGAGAAAAAATAATAATTAAAATTCACTCTGTACAACAATATGTAGGTTTATTTGTAAATATTCGATTTGCTCTTAGCTCAGTTGCTCCTATCGATAAAGAAAAACTGTTTCTAATGAAATTATAGGTGAAAATGAAATATTATTGGGTACAAAACTTGAAATTTATAAAATTAAAGTAGAAGCTTGACCAATACTCCGCAGTACTTTCGTACAAGCATTGCAGGGTCGACACCCTTAGTAACCACCTACACGACATAGGGAAGTGAAAACCAGCAGTAGAACTGAAAGAATCTTACGTAAACCTTGTAAAAAGCCCACGTGATATGAAATTCTACCAAAAGATTGTCACGTGTGATAAATAGTAGCAGGCGAAATCCTGGTACTCTAGGACAATGGAAAAAAAAATCAAGCGTCTTTGGTACTAGGAAGGGACGGATCCTGAATTTGTCCTTTAAAATCTGAACTCTATTGTACTGACGTTAAATTCATCCTGTATATTGCAGATTTAATTTATTAATTAATTTAATTTATTGGTTTAATTTGAAGTCAAAAGGGGTTAATTTGAAATTAAAATGGTTAATTAGAAATAACAAAGGTTAATTTGAAATTACAAAGGTTAATTGGAAATAACAAAGGTTAATTTGAAATTAAAATGGTTAATTCGATATTAAAAAGATTAATTTGAAAAAAAGGTTAATTTGATGTTAAAAAGGGGTTAATTTGAAATTAAATAGGTTAATTTGAATGCAAAAGGATTAATTTGAAGTTACAGAGGAGTTAATTTGAAATTAAAAAGCGTTAATTAGAAATAGCAAAGTTAACTTGACATTTTTAATGCTTAATTTGAAATTAAAAAGTTTAATTTGATATTAAAAAGATTAATTTGCTATTAAAAAGATTAGTTTGAGATTAAAATAGAGATACAATTCAATTATAAACTGTTAATTTGTTGTTAAAAATGAGTTAATTTGGAATTAAAAAGGGTTAATTTGAAGTTGCAGAGGATTTAATTTCTAATTATATAGGGTTAATTTGAAATTAAAAAAGTTAATTCGAAGTCAAATTAGTTCATTTTAAATTAAAAAGGTGAATTTAAACATAAGAAAAGACCAATTTGAAGTTCAAAAGGGGGTTAATTTGAAATTAAAAAGGGGCTAATTTGGAGTTCAAAAGGGGTTAATTTGAAATTTCAAAAAAGGTTTATTAGAAATACAACAGGTTAATTTGAAATTTAAAAGTGTTAATTTGTCGGAAAAAAGCGAAAAGATGTGTCAGAGCAAAATAATCCTCAGCTACACACTTCCCATCATACCAAAAAAGTTAGATGCATGAGATATACCCACCTTACACCCCAGACCTTTTTCCTTACGTATGGTTTCGTTCCATTGCCTACTTTGCTCAAGGGGAAAAAATAATTTTGGAAAAGTCGAAGAGTTTTTTTGATCAGCAGCCAAAGTGATACCAAATTGGGATCTAGGAACTGTCGGATAATGTTAGTGGGCTCATAATAGGCTGTATTTGAATATAAATTTTATTTTATATTAATATATATTTTTTATATACGTACAGAGATAGTGTATTAAAACCCAGACAAAAAAAAAATTTGGGGGGGAAATTTTGTCGAGGCGAAACCTTCAAAAGGCGAATATTGCGAATTTGAAGGAAAGAGATGGCGTGTTATGGTCAGTCAAAAGAACAAGGTCAGTAGAAACAAAATCCTGAATACATACGACGAAATGTCCATAGCGTTTTTTCAGAGTGGGGAATTGAGCATGAAGCCATTTTTTTAAAATAATGAACAAATAAATTTTACTCATAGTCCCATCTTCCGTGTCATTTACATTATTCAAAAACATGTCACCCACTGGCAGTCTTCCAAATCAAGGTACTTCCGGTCAAGACACTTACCTCCCATAAACCAAGCTTTAGCCCGGAATCATGCGAAAAGCTGACGTGACAAGGCCAGTTGGATGAGGCATCCACGACAACAGACACAACAGCTTCTGATCATCTTTGTTTTATTACTCTCACTGAAGTACTTAGGGATTTGCTTCACTACGATATAATAAATTACTTCAAACTTCATCAGATAGACTTTACTCTATTCCTGGAAAGATACAAGAGTCAAGCGGCGGATCCAAGGGGGGGTGTAAAAGGGGAATTACCCCCCACCAAGTGAAGATGTTATGTGTTATATGTAATATGTCTTAGTTTACCCTTAATTACCTCTGATAAACCTTCCCTAAATTAAATCAGTTTCCTTTTAACTAGTCACGCTTTGGATTTGTTGTCCCCCGGTTCGATACTTCGATCACTCGATTTGACATCATGAACCTGTATGTTGATGTTTAATTTTAGGTATGGTATCGTATGGTAAAAAGGTTACTAGGAAGCGGGGTTTGCGCTCCCCAGGCACTCCAGCCTTTTGGCTTCTTCCTAGTTCCTTCG